AGGTCCTGAATGGTGGAATATCGATCGCTGGCCGGGTCTATCAGTTTCTCGGGTTCTCGCATTCATCTCTGCGATCCCACTCGGTTTGGTTTTCTGCCCCATTCGTGGATAGCACTGGCAAACTGCAGTTGTACGCAAACATCATCAAGTCCCTTGGCGATTTTGATCACATTCGAATACCCGCCAAGTGCGCAGCGCGTATTGGGCAAGCATTCTCCGAGACCCCTGCATTCATCAATCTCTCCGAACACCATATCAGGCACTGGGACATACCAGATGTCAAATCGCAAGATGGAAAAATCCAACGAGTTTTCAGCGACGGCGTCGGAACTATCTCGCAAGAAGCTATCGAGCTGGTCTGGCCACGGCTCCCCCAAGGGTCACTCATCCCGACATGTTTGCAGATCCGCTGGGGTGGCGTCAAGGGTATGCTCTCCCTGGACTCCAGGCTATCAGGCCGTTCTATCTGCATCCGCAGGGAATCCATGGAGAAATTTCCGAGCGCTGATGTGCAGAACCTCGAAATCTGCGATGCGGCATCCAGGCCTCTTAAGCTCGTTCTCAACAGACAGATGATCAAGATTATGGAGGATTTGGGCGTTGACAAGAACTTCTTTCTCCGGTTGCAGAAGAATGAACTTGACCGTCTGCGTGCCGTCACAGCAGATGCATACAACACCGGAACGTTCCTTCATCTCCAGGGTGTGGGCTCAGCCTTCTTTCTCCCAACTTTCATCAAAAGCCTCGAAAAGTATGGTATCGACTACCGACAAGATGATTTCCTAAGGGCAGTGGTCGAGTCAACCGTCCTGCGGGAGTTGCGCTTGCTCAAGCACAAGGCTCGAATCCCGGTGCCTAAGGGTGCCACTCTCTTTGGCGTCATGGACGAGACCGGATTCCTCAAAGAAGGGGAAGTTTATGTCTGCTATGATACCTACAAGCGACCTGGAAAAGCTCCCACCGAAAGATCTCTTCGGGACGGTAGAGTGCTGGTGACACGATCGCCTGCCCTTCACCCTGGTGATATCCAGTTGGTCAACATGAGAACGCCGCCGCCCGGCCATCCGCTGCGCAATCTCCGCAACTGTGTTGCATTCAGCCAGCACGGACAGCGCGATTTGCCAAGCCAGCTAAGTGGTGGCGACCTTGATGGCGATCTCTACAACATCATCTGGGATGAACAAGCCATGCCCCGAATAACTTATAAAGCCGCGGACTATCCCAGAGTAACACCGGAGCCTCTTGGAAGGCCAGTGACAAGAGATGATATGGCAAACTGGTTCGTTGACTTCATGAAATCCGACGTTCTCGGTTTGATTGCCACACGACACCTCATCATATCAGACCAGGACCAAGAAGGCACAATGGGGGAAAGCTGTCTCAAGCTCGCTGAGCTGCATTCCACCGCTGTTGATTTCTCCAAGACAGGAATCGCGGTCGAACAGAAGAACATTCCAAAGGCGCCTCGTTTCCGACCTGACTTGTACGTATGCTCTCTCCACATTTGTAGCAACACAGCTAATATAACCCCAGTCTTGCACCAGCCCCTCCTGCTCAGCTCTACGATCGTACCCATATTAATTTCCTAGATGAAGACGAAGGGGTTGATGATGACGAAGATGCGCAGGGACCAAATCACAAGTATTACAAGTCGGAAAATGTACTCGGGCAGCTTTACCGTAACGTCAATGAGAAGCAGATTTGGGATGAAGATATCAGTCGCGTTGTGTCGAAAGCTGGCCCTTCCGTCTGGGACCAGTTCCTAGGGCTCATGGAGCGCAAGATTGAAGAATACGGCAAAGGGCGCATTAGCTGGGAGACGAAGCGCGAGCAAGCCCAAAGTCTGCGTGACGTGTGAGTAGCACATTCTAGGACACTGCTTTGCATGATGGCTAAACGATTCTTAGCTTCGAGGACACTGTCAGTGGCTTCATGGTGCAATACTCGGACAATCACATGAAACAGCTCACAGAGGTCGAAGTCTTCTGTGGCTCCATCTTCAACAAAACAGGGTCGCAGACTCGACGTCAGAAAGACAACTCCAAAAAGCTCAAGCAAGATTTCGATCGCCTTGCAGACCACATGACGCAACAGATGAGACGGAAACTTCGGAATGTCGAGGGAGCTGGCACAGCGGTAAATGATGGTCTTGACTCCACCATTGATAAAGAGGCTCCAGGCTCAGCAGCTGTCGATGATCTTGACCGACTTCTCGCGCCCAACAGAGAGGCTTTGGAGATGTCCTATGCCTGTCTCAAGGTGGGATTGTTGGACAATTCCGACGTCGAGTATGAACACTGGGCCCAGTTGCAGAGCTTCAAGGTGATTGCGGCTAGTGTCCTGCTCAGAGAGCTAACAGAGCTCGCGAATCGCGTGAGGTACGGTCGTTTGGTACATGCGAATGGTGATGAGACGACGAGTGGAGGCTTTGTTGGTGTCAGCTCAGGGCCTGCTTTCTCATATGCGTATAATGGCTACGACGTCGATGTTGGGCAGTATCCCAACTACGGGTACAGTCAGTATCTGTGAGGCAACTGATACAATCTGCAGATGGCCGGCTGCCACGGCAGTGTATGAAATGAGTGACAACTATCCCAGTCCTCTATGATTTCTCTGTAGTTTTGGCCACATAACGGGCAGCCGGCAGGCAATGAGCGCAATCGGCCGCGGCTGGGGTGCACGACGAGGAAAGCCTCCTCGTCCCCTCTCACAAGTCAATGGAGGACCGACCTGCAACAGAACCTAGAGAAAGCATTCAGATGATTTTCACCGCAAGTTCGAAGAGCCCCTTAATGACGCGAGACCACATGGTGACATATAATGCTGATCGTACTGTTGGGGAAAGGGATGTGTTGCGATATCACCAACCGGCCCAACCGGTGGTGAAGTGGAGCCAATCCGAGGTCCCGTGACCCACTTCGGTTGCTCACCTTCACCATGGTGATATCCGCGGCAGTGGCCACTTTCTCCTTCTTCTTCTTCAACAATCAATCAATAACAGCGACAAATAGTTAACATACGCTATTGCTGCTATTGATCGATCGCCTGTGATACCAACAGGATGAAGCCATGGGTAATTATTGACGAGCCGGTGCCGTATCCTTATACACTAAACTCTTAAATCGTGACATAGATTTCATGGCACAAGCAATCAACATACATACACAGCAGCGGCGATCTAAATACTGAATGGTTCGACAAAGACGCCTCCGATCTTTTCAAATAAGGCGGGGAAAGCCCGACAATGACATCCTAACTACTAAATTCTCTACGAAAGTGCGGGTAGTATAAAGGTAGTTACCTTGGTTGAAGTGTTCATAAAATGATAGAGTGAAAATAGTCTATGTCTAATAAAGAAAAGCAGTTATTGTGGGTTGCCTAGTTGAAAGGTTAGATAACTAGTGCTGTGTTGGATACCGTGTAGGCAGTGGAGGAGCTTGTTGAAGATAAGCCCTACAATCTGCGAAAGCTGGCGATGCCAGGTGCTGTAACAGATATTATACTATCGCTTCTGGATAATCTCTTTTCTCGAGTCCCTGAACAAGGCGATCGTAGTGAAGTTGCTGTCTAGTACTGTGCTGGCTGTCCTGGAGGAACTCTCTAGCCTCTTCGGCTGAACATATCTCACGCTCTTCATCGCGATGCCACAGATTCTTGGCTGTGTCATCTACGCCAGTGCCAGCGGCCCCGCGATGCACATCGCCGGTAGGGCAATTCAGAGCATGGAGGGTGGCGGCATCAACATCTGTGATGGTGATTATCTGCCATGGTACCAAGTATAAGAGGGGATACCTATATCGCCACTGTCTCGGACGTCTACAGCCTGTCGGTTCCTTGTCTGGAGCTTTGGAAATACCTGTGTTGTCACTATGATCGTAGTGATTTTCAGCCAACTATGACTATGTGAGTATCAACGGAGCCCTATGCCTCCTGCAAGATGAGGACGTCCATTGCAAGTTCCTAAAAGGCCATCGTCGAGGGTTCCAGAACTGGCCAAAGCTTAGGTCATTGACATCACTGCCTAGGGTCTCTTGTATATCGATTGCGCTAAGAGGTTAAGCTTTTTCTTGGGCTTTCTGGAGGAACAGGTGTGATTAGCAAGAGGTTCGGAGACAAGGTTTGCGCTAGAAGACACAAGAAAGGTGAAAGGTAGGATGATTGCACCCGACCTTGCTTTGGACACCAAAACCCAATACGGTTGATCAATGGGCCAAATACACACCGTTCTATGGTATATTCGCGGTGTTTGGCACCATTCGCGCTAGTTAAGCAGAGAAGTAGATTGTTAATCGCGTTCCAATACAGCATGTTTACTAGATCAGGAAGAGTAAGTAAGTTTGGAGCTTCAGCATCGAACCGGACATACTTGGACTTGCATAGATCAGTGTCGCGGTCTTCCTGGCTTTCTATTTGTTTCAATCTGTCGAGCTTGTACAGCACGGCCTTCGATCTAAAGTTTAAGCTCGGGGATCCTTATTTCTCCCCTTCCAAAAGCCGTCGTGTAGGTAGGCTACTTCTCCTTTAGACTTCACAGCAGTCCCAATAAACTGTTCCATAGACTAGACACGAGTAGGTAGCTCACGACTGAATCGTTCGTACGAGCTGGGCTGCGTTAAGTCAGACGAATCAGCCCTTTAACTTTCCGGTCACGGTCCAAGGGAGGTAGAGAGTCAAGGCTCCAGAACGTGCCCCCCTGCTGGAGGAGCTTTAGATCTTCTAAGTCGACGGCATTGAACCGTTTAGCCTCTTTTTTCTCTTTCTACTTTTCGAAATCGCGTCAAAGACCACGATAGACGTGCGACACTTCACCGCTTCCGCCTGTCTGAAATTGACGTAAAATGGTCGTCTACAGGGAACAGGTGCCGCTATGGATCGGAGCAAAATAAAAAAGGTCCGCAGACCGCGAGTTAAGCGATCAATATACCGGTGCTGCCTTTTATGTCGCAAGCAACTAGTATGGACTCACGAATTGCATCTGGTGCAAGGGGAGGGCGTAAATCGCTGACCAGAATTGCAGTGCGGCTGCCAACTTGCACGCAGCTCAAGGATGGAACGTGAACTAAGGTCCTCTGGGACATCGCCAATGACGCGGTCATCACCCGGGACGTCTGAGTCCAAGACGTCCCCGCGATCAGCCCCCAGTGGCTCCCCAGGCGACTTGGATCCCCTTCAAGCTTCAGTGACGGCAGCCTTCTTCGCTTTCGTCGGCAACTCGCCTTCCCCTATTACGGACATATTTTCGAGATCATTTATGCAAACCTATCTCAAGACCTCAATACCGGTTCGAGCCGTCGTCACAACAATTGGAAACATTTGCTTGGAGGTTCAGAGACACCCCGACTTGAGGAGCAGAATGTCCGCCGCAGCTGCTGTGATGGAAAAGGACCGTAACATGTTGAACCGGTTTCTAGAACACCTGGTTGCCCCGGACAGCCACGATCAACATATTATGCTACTGTATGGTATCTTGAAAATTTATGCCGAGGTGAGATATACTAGACGTTACTCTTAAAACAGAACTACACCAGCAGAAAAAGGCGTCTACTTACTTTCCTCTTACACAGCTAATGAGCAGTGAGACTTGGGTTTGTTCCCGGGCCACGTTTGTGAGATTGGCGGCAAAGGTTAGGAAACAACTCGAGCAAAGACGACGAAGGCCACTTCTCTACTTTGACAAGGGGTTGCTCATGCACTTTAGCCTGCTTGGTGCGATTTACTCTCTTTTATCATTCGGAGATAGTTTCCTGGTCAACTTCGAGTTCTACGATCCTTCACCGTTCGAAAACGTCAAATCGCTCACCGGGCATATCCGCATCAACTCTGCAATCTTTCATCACTTCACCCAGTTCTTGACGCACTTTGCACGCTTGCATCATAGGTAAGCAGCATTTAATTGTCGACGAGTGCATGTTGGGAACCTGGGCGCGCTGACGATAAAGAAAGAGCATTTAATTGGGTGCATGAGGCTCGCAGCGCCCTGAACGACAAACACTTGACAGGTGAAGTGTCCGAAGCGGAATCGAGAGAGATACTCATCGCAGCTGGCCTAATGCAAAAAGGGACGGAAATAATCAGTAGCTCAGCCTCGGCCATGAACTCTGTGGAACGTCTTCGCGGTGTAGGATATAACGACAACGACGATGATGGGGAAAGTAAAAGTACCGACTTTTGCACCTTGAGAGAAGCTTATTATCACTACGCCCTTATGGCCCTTACCCGGGCTTTTTGTGACCCGGTATGGAATCTCGTCGCTGAAGACTTGCCGCGCTTCATATGCATGCCCGAGCTCGAGGCTTACGGCGAGCTAGTTCGCGAGCGAATCGCACAGAGGATGTCAGGCGTGGGGATGGAGGCGTGGAGCTACCTGTTTATTCTCATCGGCGTCGGTATGGCGTCTAGAACGCCCAGAAATAGGAGGGTATTAAGGGAACTTTTCTATAGTGTCATGGGAAAGGGGTTCGCGAGTGTAGAGGCGTTCTTGGCTGACTTGAGGTTGATATGGGGAGAAGAATATAACGGCGCACACTATGCCTGACCAGGTATCGTGAGGGAGGATGAACGTTGCGAGGGTATACTACATTGACTTATTCTTTGTATGTGGTATCTGTATGTTTGTCATAGATCTCATTCATGGGTACGGGAATTTACAAACCGGTCAGGGTGTAATCCAGAGTAGACGAACATCTAAACTCTTTTGCGTAATAGTTACATTATCTTGGAACGGCAGTGAGGCGTGGCATTCCTCATCATTGACAGGAGACTCTTCTTGCTCAAATGACTGCGCTTCGAAAAATCGATGGCGAAAAGCAGCCACCACCACACATTCAATTGTTTCGAATTACGATAAACAACTCAGTAAAGACAAAAGTAGACATTCTGAAACCCCTTGGGAATAGATTCATGCGCCAGAATGACGTCATCTAAACCCCGCATCCAAGGTCGCGCAAAGTACAAATTTGGGCTGATGGAAGCTGATTGAGACAAATTTGGCAATGTTGGAATCCTTATCCTACCCCTATCCGGAGCAAACATAGAAGCAATGGCGCCACCTATTTGCACCAAGACCTTCAAGTTGAACAACGGTGAGCTCTCCGCACTCAGTGTGATCCTGATGGAGTCAGTGATACAGAGTGAGGAGTATTAATGCCCGATAATTAGGTCTCGATTTTCCGGCCGTCGGTCTAGGTACCTGGCAAGGCAAGCAAGCTCTATTCCGTTATCAACACTCATAATTTCTGACACTCCTCAGGCGCGGAAGGGACGGATGATTCCAAGGCCCTGGAGGAGTCCATTATCCATGCGTTGAAGGTCGGCTACCGCCACATTGACACCGCGCAGCTTTACGTCGTAGAAGAGGTCGTGGGCAGGGCCATCCGCAACAGCGGCGTCCCCCGCTCCGAGATCATCGTAGTCACCAAATTTTGGGGCAACTGGCACCACGACCCGGCCAAGGCGCTCCAGATTTCGCTGGACACTCTCGGGCTTGATTACGTTGACGTCTTCCTCATGCATTGGCCATGGGCCACAACCCCTGCTCCGGAGATGAAGGTTCTCAAGAAGTGGGAGAGCCCAACCTTCATCGAGACGTGGAAGATGATGGAGCCGCTGGTTGGCGAGAGGTGCAGGGCCATTGGTGTGAGCAACTTCATGCCCAAGGTCATGGATGAGCTGCTTGCAGAGGCCAAGATTGTGCCGGCCATTAACCAAGTCGAGCTGCATGCTTTCAACCCCAACCTGAATCTGGTGCCCTACTGCCAGGAAAAGGGTATTGTTGTTACCAGCTGGAGGTGAGTTTCGCAAAACGCAGTGCCATGTCTTGCAGGAGGAGTGAGTGCTGACCTTGGCAGCACACTGGGCGGCTCGGGCGCGGCGCAAAACGAAATCCGTACCCACGAGCTCTTCACCAGCATCGCCAAGGCCCACGACGTCTCTACCGGCGTGGTGTCGCTCTCCTGGGCGGTACAGCGAGGCATCGCGGTCATCCCAAAGAGCTCTAACAAGTCCCGCATCGAAGAGAACATCCGCCTCGTCACTCTCACGGACGAGGAGATGCGCAAAATCAACGAGGCACACAAGACGATCAGGAGGGAGAGATTATCTAACAACATTGCATCGCAACACATGGAGATTGACGGTAAGATGACGCAACAGGGTTGGACTTACGTGGATATGGGCTACGAAGACGAGAATGGCAACTGGTTAGCGTGAGCTATATTTGTGACTGGGACATGACTGCCCGTATCCGACCTTCAATTCTGTCGCAATGCCTTCATGGCACCGCGCAGCCTTGCGGGATCTCATCGAGACCGGGATACTATTGCTTTTCCTACCCGAAAAAGTGACTCGTGACAAAACGAAATTTTAAAAAGAAAAAAGAAAGAAAGGACGTCAAATTCAGTCAACGAGCAATTGGTAACTTTCAGCCCGCCCAACGCCAACGGACTGAGAATTTAAGATATTATTTCTGTGATGGTACCGGTATTTTACCTCTTCGTGGACCATCCTTTTCCGGATGAGCTGTTCTCCCGAGCCCATGATCTGCGCGTTTGGCGTCGGTGATCAATGCTGATCCAATTATCCCTTTGAGTGCGGATGGACCTCACTAACCCCCTGGTGGACCCACCCCCACTTCTACCCCTCACTTTCGGACATACATGACAGTACGATGTTATTTTCTTAGCAACTACCACTAATTTCAACATTATCACCAACATTATCAGTAAAATCACGATGTCTTCTGATCTAGATACCTCTATTTATAGCACTATTCACGTAGAGGTCTTGCTATAGAACCTTGCTATTGCCTACCTAGATAACTGTTGCCTAGAGCGGTGTAATAACGCAACAGTCTAGCCTAACGAGGCTCTAGTAGAGCTGCTTAGACTATAAAGTACCGTTATGTAAAGGTGGAGATTGTTGGTACCTCCGGCATAGGCAAAACGCTATATAACTAGAAGTACTATAAAACTATTGGTTATTGGACTTAATTGCCGTAGTCTGATTTGCTTTACCCCTCACGGGGGGTTAGTGAGGTCCATCCGCACTTAAAGGGACACAGCCTGCGGCGTACAGGGTGGCAGGGGCAAGTAAAAGCTCCCTGTGATGTTATCCCCCATAGCCAACATCATTATAGAGGGGGAATATTCACCAACAGAAAAGCTTTATAGTAGTGGGGTGTGCCACAAATACCTGACAGGGAGCTTTTATTTCGGCCTGGTACCATAGTATTCTTCCCCGCATTCTCTACCATCCAACGGCAACTTCCGAACATCTCGACCACCCATTTCACATCCACCAGCCTACCACCTGAATCATCAGCCATTATCCAGGTCCACGTCTGAAAGTATGGAGCACCCCCAAGCTGCAGAGGTTCTCGATGCTACTAAATGGCCAACAGCAAGGACGTTTATTTCACGATGCAGCGAGTTTTTGGCCGAGGTCCAGGACCTGTAAGTCCCCTTTGTTTGGGACCCGCGCTTGGCCTCGAATTCCATCCAAAACCCATGAGGTAGATATGTGGTAACAATTTGTATCTTCACAGAACGCCTGGGAAAGCCCTCGAGAGTACACTAAACAAACACTACGGCCCGGGCAACCAATTTTATGAAGATTTCTGTGCTTTGATCAAACAAGGTCTCGAAGAGGGATGGGTAGCCCAGACTGAGATCGAAGGCCGGAAATATCGGCGGGGTAAAATCGCCCTCCCCTCGGCCGAGACGAGGTATTTCAGCATCACGACGGTCTATATGAACAGCAAAGAAGAGTATAAGGGCCAGTATCACTCTCATCCGTATGGCGAGATCAACTGCGTTATCCAGCTAGATCCAGACGCCGAACTGAGGGGAATGCAAGGGTGGCAGGGTGCTGGCTGGACCTCTCCTGGGCCGGGTACACATCATTATCCCGAAGTACGCAAGGGAGCCTTGGTTGCGCTCTTCTTCTTGCCCGCCGGTCGGATTTCGTACAATGCCGAGCCAGGTGCTCCGCAACCGATCTCAGTGTGATGGGTCAGCATCACGCCCTTGAAAAGTCAAGCTCGATGGTTTCGGGCCCCATTGTTGGTTTGCGAACAGGCACTACTCCTGTTGATTATGATTCTGTTGAGATATCAGTGAGAAGAGAAGGCTGGTTGATAGTCCTGAGTGTTAACCGTGTAAGAGAGCAGTGGTCCAGAAGAGACTTTTGACCTAATCCTGAACCTTGTAATCTGCTACATTGATAACTAATTAGCACGGCCACGGCCCATCGTCGCGGTTACGTTACTCTAGCATTGGTTGTGTGTTGTTACATTGAGATCCCAGTATGCGGGGTACGGCATCTTATCAATGATGATCTATCCCTCAAAGATAAAGTGAGGGGACAGTGAGAGAAACGCATGAAGAGTTTGGATCTCAATCAACGATTATAAGTAAGAATGAACTGCCAGTGTTTCAATTGGATGCATTTCACCAGACCTAACTTGCAAGGTCAGGGATTCACAGACGCCGCGTTAGATGACTTTTCATCGTGTTGCGGCGGTCCTCTGCGCCCCAGCTCTAGCCTGGGGTCTCCAACTACTTCCGCCCACCCTCGAAAGACCGAGTGCCCCTGCAGAAGCCGTCTGGCAAGTTGCATCGAGCTCGAAAGCCATATACATCGATGACAGCTTCGCCTCAATAGCTGATACTGATGGGTTGACTTTGATACCACCTAGTAGCTATGACTTCGCCAGTCTTTTCCAGCAAGACATTAGCCAGCTCACGGGCGTAAACTGGACTTTACAGCGCGTCGACCGCCTTCCTAACGCTGCCAACGCCAGTGGCATTTTCCTCGGCCCATTCCACGGCAACGCCTCCTCTCTCGCGTACGAGAACGGTGATCCAACGTCTGAGGGATACGAACTTGATATTTCGCCCGTCAGCGCATCCATTGGTGGAACGGGCGCCCGCGGCATGTGGTGGGGGACCAGGACGCTACTCCAGCTTTTGCTCTCTCAGAATGGGTCTCTCCCCGTGGGGCGTATTGTTGATGCGCCAGCGTATGCCACGCGAGGTTTCATGCTCGACGCAGGGCGCAAATGGTACGCACCAGGATTCCTCAAGGAGCTGTGCAGCTACGCATCTTTCTTTAAGATGAGCGAGTTCCACTACCACCTGAGCGACAACTATCCACTCAATCGGGGGCGTAACGAATCCTGGCAAGACGTTTACTCGCACTTCTCACTGCGACCAGAAGACGAATCCCTATTGCCGATCCTCCATGGCCGCGAGAACGAGACGCTGTCCCGTGAAGATTTCTCCAGTCTTCAGAGTCATTGTGCTGCAAGGGGGGTAACCATCATCCCTGAAATCGAGGCCCCTGGTCACTGTCTATACCTGACCAAGTGGAAGCCTGAGCTTTCTCTGGCAAAGCGTGACTTGCTGAATCTGTCACATCCGGAGTCTATTCCCACAGTCAAGCGTATTTGGTCCGAGTTCCTTCCATGGTTCGAGACAAAGGAAGTTCACGTTGGCGCGGACGAGTACGACGCAACACTGGCTGATGTGTACATTGGGTTCGTCAACGAGATGTCAGATTTTATCAATTCCACAACTGGCAAGCGGGTTCTTATCTGGGGCACATATGAGCCCTCAGAAAATAGCACCATCTCTAGGGATGTCATAATCCAGCACTGGCAGTATGGTCAGTCGGACCCAGTGCTCCTTACCGATGCTGGATACGATATTATCAACTCGGAGGACTGGTGGGCTTACATGTCGCTCAAGAACGATCATATGCCCATTCTCCCCGCCAAATACCCACAGTTCTTCAATGAGAGCCGCGTGCTCAATTTCGCAGACGAGCCTGGGTGGCAGTGGACGCCCGCCGACTTTAACCCTTTCAATAAAACCATGCAGATACCCGATGGATCGCCATCCAACGGAGGCGCTATCATGGCTGCGTGGAACGATAACGGCCCTGACGCTTCCACTCAGCTCGAGGCGTACTATGCAATGCGCCGAGGCATAGCACTTACTGGTGCCCGCGCGTGGAGCGGCCATCGGGGCCCGGAGCTTGTGGAAGACGATGTGGCACCCAGCATCGACTTCTTCTCACCCCTCGCACCGGGCCAAAATCTTGACCGCACCTTGCCGTCTCCCAACGCTTCCGCACCTCTAGTGACCTGGAATCGTTCCGTCGACGATACCGAGACAGTACACCTCGGCCACGGCAGCAAGGGCATCAACTACACTCTGTCGTTGTCTTTCGGGGGGCCATTTACACTCACTGGTCCAGACAGTACGCTCTCTCTAGACGGTGATGGTAGCCTCACCTTCAGCGCAGACGGCTGTGTATATCCACTGCGTTCTGTAAGTGAACGAGACGCACTGGACCTTGATCCAGGACACCCTGGCCGCATTTGGGCGAATGTCTCTACCTCATCACACGAGGCGGTGAAGTTATCGACCCTACCAGCGAATGCCACCATCGCGACAGATAGCTTGCACGGAAGTATTGCTTGGATTGATGGGCAGTTTGTGGGAAGATTCGAAGTTTTTGTGTATGGCGGACGGAACACTCTATTCAGCTGGAGCCAGATGGCTTTCGTCGCACCACTCGATAGCATCACCGGTCCCGGACTACAGAGCCTAGTCGTCGAAGGAGACATGAATCTTCCGTTATAGACACGTTCACCAGTCTTTTGGCACTACCATCATGTAGGGAAAAGGTCTAGTAGACAGGCCTCCACTGGGGAAAGTACTTTGGGGACACTATGTAATATGCGTGTTCCTGAACATGAGTATTAAACATGAGTATCAAACATGAATATTAGACATGAGTAAACTACACATGCAGTGAACTACAAGCACAAGTGTTGGGAGCTCGGGTTAATGATTAAAATTGTTGCATATGAAGTAGTCTTCGCCGGCTTCGAAGACACTTCAAAAGACCGCCTGTACTGCGTTGATTGACTTGATAAGTACCTTCATTGATGACAAAACAACTAACAAATTCCGAATTAATAACTACCTCATTCACTATTTTTCTCTTCTCATACACTCAAGACGTTCCATCATCGCATGTTCCTCGCTGCTTTTCTGGCCGCAACTTCTCTCGTCGACAACTCTATTGTACTCGGTCCAACCAATCCCAGCGGGCTACCACAAGTTTGTGGCTAGTTTCAACACATTAATAAGTTCATTAATTGTCAAAGATAACTCCGATTAATATCCGACTCATGTTGTCTGTAGGGGCTCGTCGAGCCCGGTCCAGATATTGAGCCTTGCACACGGGACTACCTAGGCAAGGAGGCTCGAGTCACTATATCTCTGGAGTTTGCATACACTGTGTGTCAGGCTACAGGGTCCGATTTTGTCGCTAAGGACTGCATGAAAATGGGGGTAATGCCGACAGTGACGACAAAAGAGGCTGCTGGCACTGCTGGCAGGGAGCTATTTTGGCGCTGCTGGCTGGTGGCGTTCTACCGATGCCTTGGGGTTATCTGGAGCACGGTCAAGTAGCACGACACTATCAATGCTTGGAACGCTGATTCCAATATTGGTGGATGTATATAAAGACTGAGAAACCCCCACATACAACTTGTTAATTTAATGGTCATTTGTGGATTTGTGCTGATCGGAGAGCTAATCCTTTGACGCCATTCATTTGTTCTGCTACCCTTGTCTCCTCGCCGGGGTCGCTATACCTATTGCGTTACCGATGCTGCTAACGCTGTTCGTTTTTCTTTTTCTTTTTTTCCTTTCTACATAGTAGAAAACTTCTAGAACAGCCGTATGGGGTTTGAAAAGCAACTTAAGCAATAGGACTGAAGAGCCTATCATCGCCACTATTGATCATATACATTAAGAGCTTCACGACGGACTTGGGGCGTAGCTTTTTTCTGGCTTTAAAGTCGATGGCATCGCCACTTCAGGCGTTCTTGACCAAAATGCTGTCCTACTGTGATTTGAACTTCCCTCTAGTAGCATACTCTTCGGACGCGTTAGACGGAAATAGTTCGCTGCCAGCGCAGCCACTCGAGATGCGGCTTTCGTTGGTTCGTTATCGGAAGGCACTTGAGCCGAAATCGAAGCTCTGCCGTCCTCTTCATAGCTACAACTACATGCATTGTTTGTGTCTGGGTCTTTGATTGATAACGATCCAGCAGAATCCCATCCTATGTCGATCGCTATCTCTATTCTCAAGTTTCAGCAGTCTAGCATGACGGCATGGTCGGCATGGTCGGCATAGACGATTGAGGCGGAGTGCATACTTTTCAACTGGAGAGTGTCGTGGTGGCTAAATCGATCCGTGGCGTTGACGCATCCGGTAGTTATAGACAATGTGTCTTCTTTAGCGATCAAAGGAATACCGGACAAGGTAAGTGACAGCTCAAGGGCCAACTTAAAACTGTTTAGGAATCAATTATATTCCTTATACAGCCTGAATTCCCATTTCACATGGACCGTCTTTTTCCGTGGCACTGCTAAAGACATTCATTACGATACTGAATGAAAGCTTCCTGTTTTCTTCTGTATAACCACCGATTTTGGAAAACTCACTGCCCGCCTAATCTCCCATACCACTCATTCTTCTAATAAACATTTCTGCCTTTCAATTCAGAGACCATAATGGACTATTCCCCGGCCCCAGATGATCAAACGGCGCAGTCAAGCATGAACGAAGATAGAGGACCGCTCCTCATCGGCATGAGCGCTAGTTTTCTCGCGTTCACACTCATATTTGTAGCGCTTCGCGTCCATGTCCGAGCTGTTCTGATGAAGAAATGGGGGGCGGATGATTCTTTTGTCGCTATCTCATACGTCAGTCACTAGGCTACTCTTGTTTTGGAACATGCGTTAATCGAATTTAGATCCTGGCGCTGTCCACGGGCGTCGTATTTGCTATAGGTAAGACGATGTTCTTTCCCATATTCGAGGGTAAACTTGGCAGCTGACCTCATGAATACAGGCACAACTACTGGCCTCGGAAAGCATGCTTGGGCACTTTCAGAAGACATCAATCAAGCAGGCATCAGATCAAGGGTGAGACACCCGCCCATATTCCAGTTGGATACTGACTTTGGTGAAAAGTTGGTGATATCGGCAACGTTGTGCTACCACCTCACGTTCATCGTGGTCAAAATGGCTTTCCTCCTGCAATATCGTCGAGCCTTCATCCTCCCTAAATTCATATTATTTTGTGACATCATGATGGGCTTCATCGGCATGTTCGGCATCGCGCTCTTCGTCTCAGCTATCGTGGTCAACACTCCCAGGTGGAGAAGGGAGACAGACTCGCAAGCAAGTTATAATCAGGGTGTGTGGTGGATGGCCACTGCCAGTGTGCATTTGGTGACCGACATCATTATTTTTCTGATGCCTATTCCTATGCTCGGCAAGTTGAAGTTGAAGCCGATGCAGAAAGCTGCCCTGTATGTCAGTTTCGGGCTTGGCTTTGTGTAAGTGTAAATCGGCACCCTCTGTCAGGATCTTGACTGGCTGACATTGGCGTTAGCACAACGTGTATTTCCATTGTCAGAATGTCCACGCTCCCACATGTGTTCACAAGGGACACATCATGGGATATCATTCCAGCATTGATCTGGTCCGAGGCCGAGCTCTGTTGCGCCGTCATTTGTGTTTGCATACCGACCCTTCGGCCTCTCTTAATTATCTACAGGTTGAACCAACCGCACTATTCGTACAATGCTCAGACGACCGAGCCAAGCATTAAAGCTTACTTTAAACAGAAGCCCCTGAACGGGGGTACGTTTGGGAGTTATAGCCAGCAGAGTCTTCCGATTCCGATGTTTGTGGATGTGGAGTCGAATAATCCAGAGCCGAAAACACCATCTGGTGCTGCCTTCAACGAAAACCGCCTTTCAGTAATGGGATATGCTAGTTCCGCCTTGACAGCTGGGGATTCGGACGACGGTTCTGATGAGTTTGCGCCGGTGGATGTGGAAGTTGCAACACCGTTGAGCCCACCACCGCAATGTTATGCCGGTCCAGCCAGGCTTCTTCCACGATCTCAACCGTCGCCAATTGAGGAGTGAATCACACCTTAGATGCGCTTCATTATTAGACGATTGTTTTGGCAACTCAATCTCCATTTGGGGCTAGCAAGGCGCCAGAGTTATGCAGCAATCCATACTAGCAAAGACGCACCAAGCATGTACTCTATAGTTAGCGACGAGACATGCCGGCCGCCAGGCAATCTGGATAGTCAGGCCTTTAAGCCATGGGGTATTAAGCCAGCTTCAAGTAAGCATGTACCACTCGATGGGCTCCTCATGGTAAGGGCTCTCATTGCTTATAAGCAATGTGACTTGGAATATTCTTCATGACCCAAGCTGGATGGTTTAAAACAGCTTGCGATGAACCGTAGCTTATACCTGCTCGAGGGACCCAAGGGTGATCCTTGAAGCGCTAAAGAATTGCTGTCAATGTATGGCCTCAGCGCACCTTGTGATTTTTCGGGGTCTTTAACCCCCGGCAAGTCACTAGGTAATGAGGACAAATGAGACTTTCACGTGCCGCGCTAGGCTTCCATCAGAAGGCGGTCGACGACGAAAGTGGCGCTTACTGTTTAGGTAAGCCGGCAGAATCGGAATGTGCATGTCGCTAGCCTGTATTAAGTCCCCGTCGTCTATTGCCGCCTGCCGAGGATGCTGAATGGACACTCTCGCGTCCCGCATTCACTGCGCATTCACCTTTTGTCGCCGCCGCCGAGCTCCCTCTGCTTATCGACACCTCTTCGATCTTCGATCATCATACAGGCTCGAACGTCCCCACATCCATACAACACGCGGTCTACAATGGTACTTGGGAATGGCGACCACGCTGCCACGGCCGTAAATGGCTACCCCGCCAAACCCCACTCTTCCGAGTTGTCTCCCAGGAGCTTCTACGATGTATGCAATGAGCTGCGGATCAGAGTAGACGCCTTTTTGGCCGAGGACCAGAAGACGGAGGTGTTGCGCAACGTACAGTCGCAGATGCGCGTGTCATTGGACGTAGTGGACGAGGCTTTGGCGAGGTATAGGTGCGTCTGCTTCCTTGTCAGTCCTGACCTACGTTGTCGATGGGTCGCTGATGCGCCACCACAGCTTGGAACAGATCTCGCTTTCGTATAATGGAGGAAAAGACTGTACGTTAGCCTCCCCCATACCTCTAGTGTTCAGACACCAGCCAAACATATCGCTTGCACGCGTTGGAGTAACGTTTTGCCGCTCGTCACTCCACGAAGAGGCTGTAATGGTATGAGGAATGTCAACTGACAATCGGCGGCAGGCCTCGTACTACTGATCATGCTACTTGCCTGCCTCGCTCGTCGTCATCCCTCACCACCACAATCCTCCCAGTCGAACGACTCGAACGACGCGACATCCTTCTTCCCCAACCAGTTTCAAGCCGTGTACATCGTCTCCAAACACCCCTTTGCCGAAGTAGACGACTTTGTCGAAACCACAAGTTCTCAATACCACCTGGACGTGAAACGATACGCCATGTCGATGAAAGAGGGACTAGGTGCATACCTAGCGGACCGGCCGAGTGTAAAAGCCATCTTCGTCGGGACAAGGAGGACAGATCCCCACGGAGAGAAGCTGACACATTTCGATCCCACCGATTCCGGCTGGCCCGACTTTATGCGGGTGCACCCGGTGATTGATTGGCACTATGGTATGCTAATTATGCGCTCCTATTTCGCTGCATGATTCTTGATTTGATCGGATTTGTGTTTTTATTTCCAACAAGATTCGTGAGACACGGGGATTTCAATTTCCAGCTTTGAACTCAGTTCTGCTCCGAGGCTAACTTGTTTTCTTTGCAGCCGAAATCTGGGCAGTAAGTAACAAACGAGTGTACCAGTTCCTTTAGAAAAATGACTGCAGACATGGACAAGGCGACTAGGCAAAGGTCACGGCTAACCAGGGCTCAGTTCATTCGTCATTTCGACATCCCGTATTGTCCTCTGTATGACCAAGTATGTCCGTTCCGTTGCTCGGTAGGTGACAACAACTAACGTTAATACAAGGGATACACGAGTTTAGGGGGAACGCAAGATACCCATCCCAACCCTCAGTTGAAGAAGCAAGGAGAGAATGGCGCTGGCTTCCGGCCAGCGTACGAGCTGATGGATGACGACGAAGAGAGACTAGGTCGGGATAGATAAACTCAATACAGCAACATCTTGAGTTGTATTCCGAGGTTGAGCACAAACCGGACCCAGCGCAACGGAGCGATTCTTATAGAGCATAGACTATCGGCGATTATTCGCCATCATTTCACATATATCTCAACGCCATTGGTTGTCCCATGGTTAGAAAGGCTTTAATCTTTGTTATATTGGCAAAAGCAGTGGTTGAAAAACACATCACGTAGGATACAAGCGTACCAAACAGTGGCCAGCGATGACGGGTATAGCGCTGCATTTAGAGATTTGGGGGTATCTGCTGTAGAGGGCAATAGTCGAGACGTGTTAAGCATGATCACATATTCATACGACGCGTTGGCCAGGATTATGTCGTACCATTTTTCCGACACACAAGGCCGGCTTCTCTTCCGGTCTGGTGCTGAGGAGCGAGAGAACCTGGGTCGGGCCAGATCGCTCTTATAGTTGCTGTCGTACATGGAGATAGCCTGCGCTGCATGAGGGCGGGACGGTTGGTACACTTTCTGGAGCACATCTTGGACGAGGACAGTTCTTTGATGCAGCTGATAGTGGCGAATTCTCTCTGGTCCCCTTTAGACTGTCACGTAGTAATACCTCGTTGCCGTATCATACTCCAGGAGCACTTCCGCCTCCATCTCGTCAACATCGACAACAACTTGACGCCACATGCTCAACTCATAAGAGTCAGCCATAAACCCAGGAAGAACCATTGCACAGAGATACTTGTTACCCTCGCCGTTCTTGCTTGCATCATTGATCAGCTCGCCGCTTACATCCCGCACTTTTGACCGCACGGCAGACTGAGGACTCAGCACAACCACCATATTCATCCCGTCGATTCCTAGAGAGAATGCTGGTGGCGGGCTCCAGCGTACTACCATTCCAGGACGAATCCGCTCTTTGAAAGGTCTCTGGGCAGCCTTCGGGTCCGGATCAGCGCTCGAGGAGAGCATTTCCTGGTTCATAGCTGTCTTTTTATCATTCCTCTCCAGAAGGGAATCGTCTTCAGTCTTGGCCTCGGACAGCTTTGTACTGGGCTTTTGAGAATCAACGTGTAAGCGCCATAACTTGGCTTGAAATGCACGAGCCTGGTCTGGCGTAACGCCAGGGCTCTTTAAACACCGCGTGAGAAACTCAGGCGTGGGAAGGCGAAGAAGAAGCGCACCCGTCTCGAAGGGGGCTAGAACATCCCCTGAAATTTCAGGGCTTCCGGACTGTGAACTATTAGCCGACAATGTAGCACAGGATGGATCGTCTCCTTACGTTTGCATTGATCCAACTCTTTAATTCGCCGTTCGACCACGAAGAAGGAACCTTGGGGTTATAGGCCTGAGATTTCGTCTTGGGCAGGAGTACCCGCAGCATCTCGGCGTACTTCAGTGTGTTCTTACCAGCGCCGGCATCTGGAAGACTGGGGTTTACACAGGCCACAACTACAGTTTTGCAACTTCGCCGGCCGGCGGGATCAAACACATGCTTGAGAATCTTGGTGAGGGAGCTCTGGCGGAATGGGATGTGCGTCGGCTTCTTGGGCTTTCCTGTCAGTGATGCTGCATCGATCGTGGCTCTGCCCCTGATGCAGTCTTTCAGCACTGACAAGCTCGTATTGATTTCACGAGCCTCCTTCATACGGTCGGCGGTGTGGTTGGCCACATCTCGAGCGGCTTCAGACCCTGCCAAATCGACAAGATACAAAAGTCCATCATCGTCCGTTGGAATTTCGGGGTTTTCGATACGTATCCGGCAAATGGCGTGAGATCGTGACGACGCATCATTCTTCAGAGTGGATGCAGTGCGACGAAAACTCGCTGCTCTGTCGATTAGGTCAAGCAAGGTGGCTGCTTCAGTGACCTCGAACTCCATGGCCCCAGCAAGCTGCGTGACGCCAAAAGAGTCTTCCAAGATGGAAATAGGCTTGCGTGAATTCAATAGGTCTAAGAATAGTCACCCGACGTGTGAATACGGATGATTTATCAGCCAGCATAAATCCGAAAAACATACCAAAAGAGGAGTTGCCCGCCAGCTCAATGATGCACGCATAGACTTTTCGTTCGCCCTCAAGATTTCCGTCCATCAACGATTGAGCAACCAGCTTTTCTATAGCGCTGACGGTGAATGTTTTGCCGGAACCTGTTTGGCCATATGCAAACATGGTGCTCACGCCGCCGCACCATGCCCAAGGAACTAGTGGCTGTACTAAGTCTTGATAGATCTGCTCAGAGGTGTCTTCCGGGCCGTAGGCACGGTCGAGGCGGACTGACGTAGACTGTGCGATCTGTTAGCTCTACAGAGTACTGAGCACAGGATACGTAGTTTGACGTCTGGTAGCATACGATGAGTGTTGGTGGCCCTAGTGGCTTAACGTGCTTTCGAACTTGGTGAATGTCGACAGCGCCATTACCGCTCTTGCGGGGGAAGACACCCCTGATGAGGCCAGCAGCCACTTCGTCCTCCAAGATCGGACGCAATCGGGCTGCAACTATCATGTCCGGGTTGGGTGTACTATTTGAGTCATTGAAACTGGCAAGGTCCTGTTTTGCCGCCTTGTTGCCGAAGGCTTCGACAGAAGCCTGATACCAGGCAGTGTGCTTGGTATGGTACTCGTCCATGGTGCTTGACGATGTCCGGTGTCAGTAGAAGCAATAGATCGAATCTATGGTCACATCACATTCCAATCACAATACTAAGGGCCAAGGGTTCTTGATATATTTGCTAATGGTTTCGAAGTTGTTTCTTCCCAGTATTTGTTGCACTGTTATCAATTACTGACATGTCCCTGCAAATTGCTGCCTGTTGGTGCCGAAGCCACAGCTGACAGAAAAGCTGGTGCCTAAATCGATTGCCCAGGCAACCAGGCAGCCTTTCTGGCGCACTGGAGCAAAATACCACCGGGGTCTCAATGAACCAAAGACAGTGTTTGTCATACATGGTCACCAATTGATAGATGCCTGGAAGCAAGATGCACATGGCAAGAGGACCTCGGTCTTGGCCCATGGGGATCGAGTACACGCCGCTTCTGCCTCCTAACCCTAGTTGGCTAACTCATCGAGAAGTTGAGAACTTGGGGCTAAGACAGCGCAATTCCAATCTCACTAGATACTTCCGGCTATCCAGATTGGCATCCATAACAGGGCATCGCTACTTTCAACTATGCAGTGACCTACCCTCATCTTGCTAACAGTGATTATGGGTAAATACCTACGCAAGCTTCACCCTGGTATTGCCACAACTTCATCGGCGACATCTTCTTGCGTGTGTACCTGTAGATTTTCACAATCACGGGTACAGACTGGCACCAGCATTGAATTGCTGCGCCAACAATAACCAACCCAGGAGCGAGTTAGTCAAAAGCCGGCCGGCCCCACTAACGGGCCGAGCCGGCAATGAGGCGATGCGGCCCCACTCCGATAGCCGATAGCTAAAATTGGCCCGAGCATCCGGGGATTTGGAAATTGCTGGAAACCTCGAATTCTACCCACTCTTCCCTCAACAAGATGCCCTCGCTGTTACGTCACATATCTTTGCTCACCAAAGCAGACTCGATAGAAGCATGAAAATTCTCTTTGATTCTGGAGTATTGTATACCTTCTTCTGAATAGGCCTTATCATTTTTTGCCTCCAACCACTCCGGCCCGGCTTGCTAGCGCTTTATTAAGACGGATCTTCAGGTCGCGATTTTCTCAGCTCATATCTTTGCAGCCTTTTGCGGACTTTGGCCAATGTCTCTCGCTCAGCACGTCACCCAGGCCGAAGGCTTTGATTACGAGCGCCCTAAAGACCAAGCCGAAGACCATGGCAACAGCGAGGCTGTCTATGGTCTACTTCAGCCGAGAACGACAGAGACAGCCAACAATCCAGCATGGAAACATTTAAATTTCACACCCCTGAAGACGTACCATGTTCAGAAAGCAATCCCCGCGTACAAGGTTTCCAACGCGAAACGTTGGTGTATGTGATCAGCTGCGGTAAGATGCCTGGTGCTCTGTGATATGAAGCTAACGCTTTAGTACGCTGCATAGTACAGGTAGCTACCGCAATTGTGGCCTGCTCCCTAGCTGCAGGCCTTGTCTTCGGTTTCGCCGCTCTCAAGCCTGTTCTCATCTCAGAAGGGGTTTACCGCAAGTTATGCGATGCCGATGACCCAAGCTTGATTGAAGACGGCGATTACGTCCCATGCACCAAGCAAGATCTACGCCTTAACCTATTCTTCCTCGTTGCTTCCGTCACTACAAACGTCTCTTCCCTAATAGCCGGCTTCGTGCTTGATCGCTACGGCAGGCGAGCATGTTGGATTGTGTCATCAGCCTGCCTCACAGTTGGCTGCCTATTGATGGCCATTTCGAATAATATTATCGGATTTGATGGATACTTACTCGCCAACGTCTTTCTAGCTCTGGGCGGCACTTTTGTATTTGTGTCCAGCTTCCAGCTTGCCCACGCATTTCCCAAGCACAGCGGACTCATCATAGCATTGGTGACGGGTGCGTTTGATGCGTCCGCAGCCGTGTTCCTCTTCTATCGCACCGTCTACGAAGCGACTGGTGGAAAAGTCTCGCTTAAAAGGTTCTTCTACTCATACGTTTCGATTCCCTTTCTGCTCATCTTCGCTGAGTTCGCGTATATGCCGATTCGATCCTATCAGGACAAACCTCAGCTAGAGAACCAGATTGAAAGGGCCCAAGATGAGGCGCGCGATGTCCACGAATCAGACGAGGAGATTGAGGACACCAGAGAGCTTCGGAAGGTGCGAAACGAGCGGTCGAATCGCCGGTTGTTAGAGTTGAACCAGATCGAAGAGGTCACTGGCGACGCTGAACAACGGGAGGAGCGCACCAAGACCAACGAAGAGCGTCAGGGAGCAAGTGGTGTATGGGGTGTTTTGCACGGTATTCCCGCTCACAAACAGATCCAAAGCCCCTGGTTCATTCTCATTCTGCTTTTGACGATTGTGCAGATGCTGAAGATGAACTACTTTATTGCAACCATCAAGTCCCAGTATCGGTTCATATTGGGGTCCGAGGCCGAAGCCGATGCTATCAACCGCTTCTTTGATTTTGCTCTTCCAATCGGTGGTCTGGTATCTACTCCGTTCATAGGCGTTCTGCTGAACAAGGTCAGCGTGACCGTCACCTTCGGCGTCTTGACTGCGCTGATTATCGCTATTGGTGCTCTTAACTATCCTCCTTTTGGCTGGGCAGGATACGCTACTGTTACTCTCTTCGTCATATTTCGACCTCTCTATTATTCAGCCATATCGTAAGTTGCGCGGTCAAGCCAGCTTTTGCGATTGGGCGATACAAATACTGGTGCTGATTATTTCTTAGCGATTACGCAACGAAAGTCTTCGGCTTTGCGACCTTTGGACGTATCTATGGCACTGTAGTGTGTGTGTCCGGCCTCGTTAACTTTGCCCAATCCGGACTTGACTCACTTACGCATGGTACCTTACATGGCGATCCAACTCTAGTCAATATCACACTCGGAGTCGCGGGCGCCATTGTCGGGGCCGTTCTTACGGTGTTCGTGAGCATTAAGGGTCGCGCCTTTGTCGAGCAGGAGAAGTCCGCTGTCGAGGAACGGCGAAGACTCTTATCGTCCACAGGACAGGACTACGGTAGTCGAGAGTGAGATTGTTTGATACTTAGCTATAGACCTACGTGGGGAGATCCCAACCAGGCACTTATTCTTTAATGATCATCAGACGATTTAGAGCTCTGTCAACCAGCATGGCAACCTAAATCTCCTGTCATCTCACTTGTGACTGCACTTGCGTATTAATGTTTTTCGCTCCGGACAAGACCTTGTAGCTGAGCTGACACTATTTGACCCGAGGTTCATGATTTGGGATTTGATCCTAGATTTTGGTCTCTAGAACCTGACTTTTCTCCCGCGAGTTTATCCGCAACCATGAACCTTAATTATGGATGCGTAATGTATTATTGCGTAATGGGATGCCGGCGCATAATCATAGCTGATTCGCCTGCAATAATGACGATATCAGGCTCTCTCGAGAGTGTATATCAGCCGAGTTACGAGGTGGAGCCTAGGATGCCGGGAATCAGATCTTGAGTCCACAAGTAATCTGGTAGCACTTAAATTTCAATCCGTTTTTGGCTGCGTTTAGCGAGACCATACCCTTAGTCATCGTTACTTCTTTTAGCTACTGAGAATCAATCTCTATAGCAATCTTCTCTTTCTTTCTGGAGCTGGTGTCGGCCTATTTTCCTTGCGGTCGGCTCACAGCTTCTCTATAGCACTGGCAATGCCACCAACCTATACCGGGCTGGACAAGCAGTCATCTCGCAGTAACTCAATTCCTGAGAGCTGACCTATCAAGAAAAGCATCTGACATATGGATTCACAATTAAATGCAACTACAGGCACAAAAGAGCGGGCCTGCTTTGGCAGCCCGCAAACCGTTACCGGTGACGCGTGGGATGCAAGGTCACCAACGCACAGGCCTCGGGTCGTCTACAACCTGCTACACGTAGTTCATGCACTAACTAACCATGCTTGGTATGACTTGGCATTGGGCACCATGCGAGCTGCCCACCCTTCTTATGGTGTTTGCAGCGTACCTATTGTTTTCTACCTCCGGACCAGCCTTACCCCCTTGCCGTAGGCCAAAGCTCGATGAGGCGAGGTAGTAGCCTAACAAGTCACGTTTCTGTCACAAGGATCAGATCAGACGAGCTCAAAGCTAACTGGAGTGTGTGCGCAACAAACTGAATTCTAAACCTTACAGTGAGTTGAATGTAGGATTAACAAGGCGCAAAGCTCACCGGATGGATTAAATATAGGGTTACCACATGGAACACTCGGGTGCCTGCACCACGCTACGCATCAAAACGTTTGCAGGCTGTAACTGGGACTAGCCATTACCGAGAGGTGTTAGGGAAAGCCCACGCAGTCACTCGGTCGATAATGTTGGATGAGAACGGCAGGCTAGTGCGTGTCAGGGGAGGCAAAGATGGATGCGTGTTCTTCGGCTCCATATAAACAAGACAATGAAACTGGACCTCAAACGGTCCATTTCGGATTGTGACCTGAAGCAGGAGCTGGGTCACCCTTAACGGACTCTCTTGTCCGAGTGCAGACTGCAACAGTATTGATGTTGTGATTTATCAGGCAAAAAGTATCAGAGAATGAATCATTATAGATCACAATCAGTAGATCAGTAAATCCCTACTGGGTCTGGCCTCTCTAATGGTGGTCCTGTGCGCATTAATAGGCGGCGTGTTAAGTCCTGTTAAGACGACGATCAGACAATTAAAGACGGAACTGACCGTTCGGATGACACATGTCATGATTCGAGCCCAGTGGATACTGGGAACTATGAGCAGTATCTAGCGATCATTCGACGATGGTCACGAGGGTCTATTACGGGAAAGTTTCAGTCTTCCAGGGCTAGATTTCAGGCTCTTTGACACCCATGTCGCAGTTCGGTATTGCGGTGCCGAAGCCGAAGGTCGAGCCGAGTATAGAGAATACCATCCACGAATTCGGAACGACGACAGCGCACACCAGATCAGTTGGAATATATATGTACCCAAGGTATTGCCATCCCAAAGCTTTTGTTTAAAAATCCATCACTCACAACTCTTAATCAACTTGCAATTTCATTCGCTTAAACGACCTGGCGTCGCACTGTCTATAAATTCTTTCTTTAATCTTACAATCTTTCTTTATTCATACCCAGGATTCCATACTCGCAAAAATGGTCCGCATCACACTTTTCGCCACTATCGCTTGTAAGTGGCAGGCCTTTCCTAAGCCACAAGTCGTTTGCGACACCATCTAACTTTCTATTCGTAGTTGCGGCTACCGCTTTCTCTCTCTCACCCAACAACGCTGGCGCCAGGAACGTCGGCAAGGGCGACGGTTCCCAGTTTATCACCGGAGGCTGCGTCGACAACGCCGACTGCTCGTCCGCTTGCTGCGCGGATCTCAGTGGCGTCGGCATCTGCTCGGCCGAGGCGGCCCAGTTCCAGAATGGCAAGAACGGCTGCGACTTTGTCGACCCTAACAAGGATGCGACCATCGCTGCGGCTCAGGCTCAGGTCAAGAAGCAGGGTTTCTAAGCTGGAATGCAGAAGCTTTGCTGAGACGAGGGCTGACCCTACGGGGGAATATTAGCGGTGCTGGAGGGATGGGCTTGCGCATTCGAAAGAGTAGCATACCAGCCAGCTACGGTCTCGCTATAGGCTAGAGAACCCGCACTAAAATAAAACAGTCAAAGCCTCCACCAAGTCGTCCATCATCATATGCTGCTCCCGTGCGTCCGCGCGAACATGCATATTAATTGGTCTTTTGCCTCTAATTGCTCCCACCCAGCAACTATTGGTACCTTTAGCAATCGTGAAAATTGGCAAAGGATCACACCAGGACCGGCAGCAATCTAAGGGGGTGAATACTGATCGGTAGACGTCGTCGAGGCTGCGAGTGACTACTACTATAAAAGTGCATGCTGTTTTGAAATGTCCGTGCTGCTGTCGCATTGCAAGGTTGGCACGGCCTACTAGATAGGCTACCTCTCTCGTACGGTGCTTGAGAAGTAGCAGCAATCGAGCCAATCAAGGGAGTCGTGAGAGTCATGGTTCTAAGCGAGTTGTAATGAAGCCTAAGGTTGAGTTGCTGCGTTGGGCACTCAGCCAAGCAACGTAGTAGGTACCTAGTGTCAAGGAGCCTCCTACGAGAAAACGGTGTCTCTTGGTATGACAGCAGGGTAGACATGCCAAGAGTTGTATGTGGATGGCGCGATTTTTGTTTGCCATGGCAAGCATGAGTGAAAATGGTATTAAGGTTGACGGTTGAAAAGTTTATCCCAAGAGGTACGTACTCTTGACTCCTATGATGTAGATCAAGCTTTGAGTGTTACCCGCAAACTTAGTTAATAGGATGGATACCTGGATACCTGAAAACATCCACGGTATCTCTTCTAAAGCATTATGTTCACCTAACTGTGCTTTTTACGGCTGTGTATGGTTATTATTCTGTACCTGTGCGACTTGAAGAGGGAACGCATTGCACCTAGGTACCTGGGTTCGTTGATCACTTAACGGCCGAGTCTAGACTGAATATGGCAGCTGATTACACAGCAGTGGCTTGGCGACCCAGATAAGCTTAAAGCCCCTGATCCTCCTGCCCCATGCTTCACCTCGCTCCGGTGGAATGCCACCATATATATGAGCCAATGTGAGCGTTGCGGCTTCACGGCTCATTGCGACCTGAGTGTCGATCGAGATGCCTTCTTCGGCAGCTGGGCGTGTCGCAGGCTCTTGCTGAAGGACTTTACGGCCCAGCCCGGGCTTGCAGATGATCCCCCTCAACCAAAACTTACCTACCCAGGTACGCCCACCCATCCACCTGACAAGCCAGGTTATCGGGTGGTTCTTTCTTTTCGCTGCTGTTTGGTAACCTATCCAGGTAGGTACAGATGTATCCTCGGGGTAGTTGCGTTCTTGCCAAAGTCGCACAGTCCTTGAAAGGGAAGGAGCGGAGCATCAACGAGAAGCCACCTGATGAATATCAACTCTTCACTCCACCTCGACTATGCCTTCCTTCTTTTTCTTTCTCACTTGCGATCTCCCCCTCTCGAGGCCTCTGTCAACTTCAGCTTCATTCAATGCCACCAAGCTAGGTACTTGATAGACACCATGCGCTTTAGCACCACCCTCGCCGTTGTCGCGGCTTCTTGCGGCCTCGCTGCTGCCGCGCCTGCCACTGACGACATGCACGTCAACCCTGGCCTGCGGCTCGTCAAGACTTCCGAGGATGATACTGGCACCTGGGTCACCGAGGATGAGAAATTCGACAAGTACACCATCAAGGGCGTTGGCTTCATCGATATCACCGACATCTCTGTAAGTCTTCTTGGCGCTGCCCCAACATCTTTCTCGGCAGGCAAACGGAAATTCTGATCCGTCCCCTAGGATGAGGAGGTCCTTAATCTTCTTTCGACCGCCCCCAAGAACGTCTCCTCCCTCGTTTCTCGCCAAGCCATCACCTACCCGACCACCCTCACCCACGTCACTGAGGCCAACTCGCTCATCAGTCGTGTCAGCAACACCAACCCCCAGTCTTGGCTCAAGACCCTGACCGAGTCAGTCAACTAACATGGGACCCGGATCATCAAACGCTCAAAACTAACAAATCTCCAGATTCAACAACCGTCACTACCGTTCTACCACCGGCACCCAGGCCTCGACCTGGCTCTACAACGAGGCCGCGAGCATTGCCTCTGGCTACTCAGCCATCACGGTGTCGCGCTTCACCCATTCCTTCAACCAACCCTCCATCATCGTCAAGTACCCCGGTACCAGCTCCAACCTCAGTGAGTCGAAAACCTTTCCCTATGACCACAGCCAACTCGTTTCATTTCTTTTATACCAACTGACACGCCCCTCAGTCATCGTAGGAGCACACTTCGATTCCACCGCTGGGTCCTCCACTGCACGTTCCCCTGGCGCTGATGACAACGCCACCGGCACTGTAAACCTCCTGGAGGCTCTCCGCGTCCTCGTGGCTGCTGGCTTCCGTCCTAAGAACACGATTGAGTTCCACTTCTACGCTGGTGAGGAGGGTGGCCTCCTCGGCTCCCAGGCCATCTTCTCCAACTACCGTTCCGCTGGCAAGCGTGTCTTGGGCATGCTGAACCAGGACATGACAGGTTACTCACCTGGCGGTCGTGCTACCGTCTACACCGACTACGTCGACAGCGCGTTCACAGCCTACGTCCGTCTCATCACCACTCAGTTCACCGGTGCCACCCCTGCCAGCTCGTCTTGTGGTTACGGTTGCTCAGACCATGCCAGTGCCCGCTCCAACGGCTTCCGTAAGTACAAGTGCTTTGACTAAGAGAACTGTGCTGATTGGCAATTAGCTGCTGCCTTTGTCAACGAGGAACCTTTCAGGACTTCCAACCCCAACATCCACAGCTCTCGAGATGTATGTTGAGCCATCCTTGCACAGAAAACTTGGTACCGAGTTAACCGTGACACAGACTTACGATAGCATTCAGTGGAATGCTGTCCTCCGTCACTCGAAGCTGACGGTGGGCTTCCTTGTCGAGGCTTCTTACTTGGGTTAGAAACCGAGGTGCCCGTGATCCCATTCCTCTCATCGACATACCAATCTTCTTCAATCCATACAGAAACTCTACCAAAAGTTGTAGAATAAGCTGTAAGGGTTTGGTTAGTTAGGGTTGGGGATCAGATTAGGAATCGGATTAGAGATAGGATCAGGGTTAGGAATGTGAAAATGTTTAGATTGATGATTTGGTGAGTGGCTGAGGGATATACCCACACCCTTTATCTTCCACTTAGGGGCAGATGGGAAGGCGACAGCAGTCACTTTCCGGGCATTGCGCTTGAAACTGGTTGAGAAGTCAAAAGAAACTAAGTTCTCGTGAGTGAGGGTTGAACTGTTTTATAAGATATTTATTCTAGTGGCTGTTACAGCTGAGCTAGCTGACTATGTCTGACATCGTTATGCCGATAAGCATTCATCATCACCGTCGACTTCTTCTCAACAGCAGACATGTAAATCATCATGACAAAGTTTTCAAGTGTGAATGTGGCAGGACGTAAAAACGCCAGCTGTAGGTTGCAATTAATCAGCCTAAGTACATGATCTCTTATTCCTCTTCCGAGGTGAGAACATGGCTTCTCAGGTGGCTAAACTATATCACTTCAAAGTGGCTAAATATGTCCAAGAAGTCCTCTCCTAAACTCATATTCCCGTTCACCCTCGTCATAGACATAAACATTATCAATTCCCATTAAACACCTCTACAACTCCTTAATCCGAGACATCAGTAGATGCATCCGCCTTGCCCTTGAAAGCGCGAGCGCTTCAAGCACGATACTGGTTGAAGAAGCTGTACATGCGAGTCTGCTGGTTGGGAGTGAACTCCTCGTAGCAAGAGCTGTCATGTCGTTAGCAACAGTCGTCAACTCGGATAAGACCTGAGTAACTCACTCGTAAGAGTAGTCCATGTAGTTGTGGATAGGGTCAAGACCGGCCTGGTTGGGGCAAGAGTCACGACCGACAGGGCATCCGGAAGTGGCGCTGGCCTGAGCGGGGGTGTCGGCGATGGAGTCGCCGCTGCCGGTGCAACCGCCCTGGAAGGTGTGGTAGAGACCGAACCAGTGGCCGACCTCGTGGGTGACAGTGCGGCCGAGATTGTAGTTGGTCGAGCTGCCACCGGGGACTGTGGAGGAGAGGATGGTGCAACCGTCCAGGATGTAGTTGGTGGAACCGGGGGAAGCGGTGGTGGGGAAGTAGCAGTAGCCGAAGGCGCCGCCAACATCGCGCAGGAAGTACAGGTTGAGTGCGCCATAGTCGCCCTTGCGGAGGGAACGCTTCATGGCCAACTCGTTACCATCCTGAGCCCAGGTGGGGTTGATGGTGCGGGTGGTCTGGACCAGGTTGAAGGAGATGCCATGGGGGGCGAAGTCCTCGTTCATGACGGCCAGCTGGTCAGACAGCATCTTGTCCTGTTTAGGATTGTCAGCACGAGCGGCATCCGTGGATAGGCCGCGAGCCCGCTTACGGTGATGTAGCCGTTGGCCACGGTCTGGGAGGAGGCAACAACGTGGAAGTAGGTCGGAACAGTGATGGTGGCAGCGGCAGCCAGTCCGAAGGAATTGAGGGTAACGTTGGCAGCCTCTTCTTCGGCTAGCTTCTTGGAGATCTCAATGTGCTCAGGGGTGGGGTCATGAGTGGCACAGCCGAAGCGGCCCCTCTCGCCAGCGACGGCGGCGGAAGCCATGCCGGCTAGGGCCGCAACAAGAGTAAAGGTGACCTGCATGATTGCGAGCTAAACGATTGGATCAAAGTCGAACGAGGGAGACCGAATTAGGGGCTGAGGGTGAGAGGGATGGCGAGCAAAGGAAGGAGGAACCTTGATGGCTGACGACTGGATTATATATACTCGACGATGCTCTTGCGTCGCCTCCTTATTTTGCTGATCGCCAACCGGCGTTGATATCCATCTTGGACTTATCCGGAAGGTCGCCGCTCTCCAAGTATTGGCTCCAGCCTCATAGTAGCCTACAGAAGCAAGTTCGGACAAGACTCAAGGTCAAAAGATCGAGGGCGATGGGACCCTGGAACCAAGGTTGTACGGTAAGCGTGAATGCCTTCCTATTTGAGGCTAACTTACATCAACTCAATCAAAGCAAATGAGCTTGACTGAGAGTCAGTCGGTGGGCGGCTTCGAGGGGACCGCCTGGGGGTAGGATCTGTGAGCCCATTCGTCGGCCATGGCTTGGCATTGGCCAACGACCGAATCAAGATGGGAGCCGCTCCCCCACGCCCGTCCTCCTCGGCTTCACTGCCAGGGCTCTCGGGCCAATGCCGTGTTGCATCATACAAGGAGTCCGAAGACGGCAGGTAGTGTACGTGGGGAAGAGAGTGGGCGATATGGTCGGTACTGTTCGGCGGCCGGAGATGAATCTGGAAGGACGAAAATGGCTGAAGGACGAGTAAGCTTCGGGAACCGGCGCTAAGGGTCGTGCGGTTGCATCGCAACACTAAACGCTCCGATATACGTGCATGCCAAGCTCCCGCCAAGACGGCCAATCATCCAACCAGGGGCAATGCAATCGAACCTCCCTAATTGGGATTAAGCGGCAGCATTATCGCTCTCGTCCAGGGGGGTGAGTGACTGTTGATACGAGCGGAGTTCCTAGGCAACTTTTACACCTTCGAACGAGCACGCCCTCGAGTTAGCTTGCTTGGCAAAGCGCAGCTTTCCACCACCAAAGATCTCAGATTTGCCAACTTCGCAAGAGAAACGGCGCTGGCGGTGGGCCACTTGAAGTCACAACAACCTTCTGTTTCCGGGAGTCATTTGACTGAGGTGGATTAATCGGTGTAAGGGTTATGAGAGGATCCTAGCTTTGCCAAGGCCAGCCGCCAGAGACTATTGGGATGAATTGCCGGGTTGGGCATGTGGCAGCAATCAATTGACTGGTCGGCCGAGCTCTGCCAGCACCTAACCTACGGCACTGGCCATCGGATCCTTGGAGAGTTGCGGGGCCAGACGCAGCAGTCGAGGCAGGCCGATGGCATACCATTGAGACAAGGGCCCGAGGAGGGAAGACGGCTTAAGAGCCTACGGAAAGTTGAGCGGTTGCCAAGGACTGCCATCACTCGATGGTTTCGACGAGTCCGACACCAGAATCAAAGATGGCAGCGACCGCAGACTTCCAAAAGATGACAGTTCACTTGTTGTCATGAGCAGCCCCCTCTCGGACGCCAACACGCTAGAAAACACAGGTGCTGCGAGTCTGCCCAAGACTCTGTCGTTCGACAAGGCCTGGCCAGCCGAGGAATCGGATAAAGAGCAAGCAAACAATACCTAACGTCGTAGTACGGTGTTTCTCTCTGGCAGAGAGAAAAGACAAGATCGAAACTTGAAGCTGATCGACTGTCGCGGTGATCATTGATGAAGACGTGACGCACTAAGTCTCTGCGGACGCAGAAACCAAGCATGGGGCCACACAGCATGACGTTGCAAAAGCCACAACGAACAAACATCCTCTTGGGCACAGTGCGACGGAAGGGTGTGAAAATCATGGGTAAGCTTAATTTTTATTTAATTTGATTATTTTTTTCGGTCCGGGCTCCTGATGTTGTATGTGGCTGGTGCCTGGTTCCTGAGAGTCGGTAACGTCCGGTCCGGATGAGGCAGCCATCACTGCCCATGGAAGGCAAGCAAGGCAGGCATCAGCCACATTAAAAGGTGGGTCTAGATGTTTTCCCCACCTTCACGTGATTGCGAGTTGCGGCAGCTCGCACCTTCGCGTCGCTGCCTACTGGGGGGAGGCGCGCCGCGCGACAGCCACTTAAGCCGCCGACCCCACGACCCGTAACTGGTCCTTCCTCTTCTCAGCTCGCTGCAGCAAACCCTCTCGGCCGACCGACACCGTCATCGTCAGACTGGCTGGCTCACTTACTGGTCTACACGACATCATGCCCGACTTGACAGGTATGTTCTGCTCCCTGCCCACCCTCCCACCGACCAATGTTTAGTGAGCTAATACCCCACGTGCGTGTAGAGGCGGACACCATCCGCATTCTGGTTGCGACAGACAACCACGTCGGCTACGAAGAGCGAGACCCGATACGCAAAGATGACAGCTGGAGGACATTTGACGAGATCCTGAACCTCGCAAAGAGCCATGACGTACGAACGCTGTGTTTTCACCCCCAATGCTCCATCGGCTGACACGACGCACGTAGGTCGACATGGTGTTGCTGGGCGGCGACCTCTTCCACGACAACAAACCCTCCCGAAAATCCATGTATCAGGTCATGCGCAGCCTTCGAAAGAACTGCCTCGGCATGAAGCCCTGCGAGCTCGAGTTCCTCAGCGATGCGAACGAAGTTTTCGAGGGCGCCTTCCCCCACGTCAACTACGAAGATCCAGACATCAACATCTCCATCCCCGTCTTCTCCATTCACGGCAATCATGACGACCCCAGCGGCGAAGGCCACTTCTGCTCTCTGGACTTGCTCCAAGTCGCTGGCTTGGTCAACTACTTTGGCCGCATCGCCGAGGCCGACAATATCGAGGCGAAGCCGGTGCTGCTGCAAAAGGGCCAGACAAAGCTTGCACTATTCGGACTGAGCAACGTTCGTGACGAGCGCATGTTCCGTACCTTTAGGGACCACAAGGTCAAGTGGTTTCGACCGGGCGTCCAGCAGTCGGATTGGTTCAACCTGCTCGCCGTCCACCAAAACCACCACGCCCACACGGCAACTTCTTACCTTCCTGAGAACGTGCTGCCCGACTGGATGGATCTTATCGTTTGGGGCCACGAGCACGAATGTTTGATCGATCCTCAGCAAAATCCCGAGACAGGCTTCCATGTCATGCAGCCAGGTTCCTCGGTTGCGACGTCGCTTGTGCCGGGCGAGGCGGTGCCGAAACATGTCGCCGTCCTGAACATTACTGGGAGGAAATTCAAGGTCGAGAAGCTGCCCTTGAAGACGGTAAGACCCTTCGTCACGAGAGAGATCCAGCTAGCGACCGACCCGCGATTCAAGGGCTTGCACACCAAGAAGGACAACCGACAGGAGCTCACCAAGAGACTGATGGTTGTAGTCGAGGAGATGATCCAAGAGGCCAACGAGGAATGGTACGCCGTTCAGGATAACGATGAAGAAGAGCCTCCACTACCGTTGATCCGTCTCAAGGTGGAATACACAGCCCCCGAGGGTGGTCAATACGACTGCGAGAACCCTCAGCGTTTTTCAAACAGGTTCATCGGCAAGGTCGCCAACACCAATGATGTAGTCTACTTCCATCGGAAGAAGGCTGGGGTCTCGAGTGAGTATTCGTAGGCTACTGCTCTTGCATAAACTAATTCTCGTTCAGGACGCAATGCCGGCACTGACGTTCCTGAGATGTTGGAGGAGACATTAGGTCTCGATACTGTCAAGGTCGAGGCCCTAGTGCAGGAGTTCCTGATGGCCCAGTCTCTCAAAATCCTGCCAACGGCACCTTTCGGTGATGCCGTCAACCAGTTTGTCAACAAAGACGACAAGCACGCGATGGAGGAGTTTGTTAGCGAGTCTCTGGCCGGGCAGGTTAAGCAGATGCTCAGCCTCGACTCAGATGAGGAAGATCTCGACAACGCCATGGAGGCTTATCGGGCCAAGCTTGAGGAGCAGTTCTCTAAGGGCGCTCTGAAGAGGACAACGAAGCGCACCGTCAAGCCGAAACCGGATGAATGGGATTCGGATCTGGACGGACACTGGGAGGACCAACCTGGTGTAGTCGAGACCGAGGCAGTGACTGGAGCACCTGTCAGGTCACGAAGGGCACAAACACAGGATGATGACAATGATCTGATGGACATGGAGGATGAGCCAGCGGCTCGTCCAGCACCCGCCAAAAAGGCGGCCACTACCCGAGCCACAAAGGCGGCCCCGGCGAAGAAAGCTCCGGCGAAGAAGGCGCCAGCCAAGAAGGCGCCTGCTCGAGGCCGCAAGAAGGCCGTGTTCGAAGACGAATCCGAGGAGGAGGACGTGGTGATGGACGATGACTTTGAAGAGCCACCCGCGCCCACCCGCGCGAGAAGGTCCCAGCCCGCTCGTGCGGCTCCGAAGGGCCGCCAGACGAAGCTCAATTTCTCACAAGCCACGACCTCGCAGGCTGCGGTCGAGATCAGCGATGATGAGATCTCTGACGATGATGCCTTTGAGTCTGTGCCAACAACTGCCCGTTCCAGACGGAGATAGTCTTCGGCTGGTCAGGAGAAGTGCCGCGGCTGATGAGGCGCTGCCGCGGTCCTGGTCAAGGACACAGTTACTGTGATTAAAAAAAGTTTTATCGAGACATTTAGAGGTCTCGCGTGCATTCGGCCATCTGGAGTCAAGGAAGCGGGGTTTGCTTTGCCTTAGATCGATGAACTAAGATACCACGTCGCGAATGATGAGAAATTTTGGCTCTGATGTCTGATTTGTAATGTGATAGATTGTTCCTGCTGCCCCTCCTGAATCGGCGATGCTCGCATTGCCTAGCACCACCATGCATGCTCTTGGCTTTTTTTGAGTGCTTGCTAAAGGCCCCTCCAAGGTGAGGATGCATACGTCAAGCATCCGGTTCATACGCAATCTCAAGGCTCAAGCGTTGACTGCTGCATCTCCCAAGGTATTCTTTTCACTGCTCCTAATGTTTACAGCTGCGATGACCGCATCTTTCAAATCCTCTTTTGAGGGGGGGAGGCTGGCCGTTGACAACTTACGACGGACTCGGCGGTCTTGGTCCTGGAATTCCTACCAACGTCGCTTTCCAGCCAGAATCTCAAAGCATATTAAGTTGCTGAGTTGTGGCAATTCGTCTGCCACATGGATGTCTCTGCGGCAAACCACCAGCGGTGCTCGCCCCGAGACACTCGACTGCGTGATGCGAGTGTGCTTCACCGATCTGCGCATTTAACATGATGCCTTCTCATGCTAGCAGCCAAGCAAACAAGCTGTGATTTCATGTCTCATTTTCTCCCATAGTTGAATATGTATACGCCACTGCGGGTCATAAGAACTGAGGGAGTGCCTCCTGTATTCTCACAGTCTCGCTGTTATGTTCACAGGCCGCGTGTACGCCGGTTATGCTGCCACCACACATATGAGAATACCATACAATCATTGGACCTTGACTTCCGTTTGCTTTGCGACATGAACGGCCGTCAGTTGTGATAGGGGATATTGAGTGTTGCCTCGAGGGAGATGGGAAAAACAGCCGGTGCACCGCAGGCGAATGTTGCCAAGCTGATTAGCATCGTAGCGAGACAACATACCGCAGCATGTTGTATACCAGTCGGGATACTGCTACCAACATATTCCTTGGCCTTCCTTATGGATTACCAGCGGTGATGTCCCGCCGCCGTCTTCGCCGCAGCCTACCTAAAGGCTAACATGGCTCGTTTGAGCGAGCCCTCATACATCAACGGCATTATACCATGTGGCTAAAAGTGCTCGTGGCTTCACAGAAGGTCTTTGATCGACTTCGGCTTCGTGGTCCCAAGCACTGGCTATGACATGTTGACCACCGACGCTGTTCTTGGGTTTATACTGATTTCGGGGCTAACATGTTTTGGGTGATAAACGGAGGTCGGATCACCACTGGCAAGACTAAAGTTGAGTTGCCGTTAGGCCCCCTCTCAAAGGAAACTGGATCCCAAAGGCCAACTGCCGCATTCTGTATTGTAGAACCCGAGAACTGACCCGAGTTCTTTCGTACAAGACTAGGTGGTGAGAGATTCCCGAAGATATCTGCAGGTGGCCACGCTAACTTTGTCTTGTTGTATACGTTTACTTTCGTTTGTATTTACAGCCCAATATGTGTGCCTCGTTTCCTCGGTATATCGGCGGGAGTTTACATTATACCTGGCGAATAAGGATAGGGTTATATATTACAGCTGTAGCGTCGACTCTACAGTGACAAGTGAAACGTTTTAGCAAAGTCTCATTCTACTCTGCCCTATCTACTGGGCTTTTTAATGGAAGAAAACCCTCAGTTCGTCTCATACAGCTTAAACCCTCGGGAACCGTCTGCCTTTGTTTGTACTCTGTCAACTATTCCTAAGTAACAAACTTGAAACCAATGACACCAACCCGGGGGGTGGGGTGGGGGGGGTTCAAACTACCGTTCGTTTCGTCTTCTCGATTTAAACTCTACTGCAAGTCCGGACAGTCATATTGGGTCTTCAACGGCGGCATGTATGCTTTATAGCCTCTTGCGTCGCGGCCCCCTCTGGCGAACGACACGAGCCATATGCAGTTTATTTCTGGCATACGTATTTGATGTCAAAGTTTGCACGACCGAAATCCAGCGTCCCTCGATCGATGCTACTACCCCTTCCGCCTCGTTATGTAGACATCTGGAAGATCACTATGCGGAACAGGGCGCTCCTATGGATATCGACGTTCAGCCAGCCTTACAATGCTCGGGGCTTTCTCCTGCGCGTCATTGGTAACTTGGATCCGGTTCGCACCCCCTCCCACTGCCCGGTTATGTCTCGCCTGCAGACATCCTACCCTGGGGAAACTAGGCGCTCTGCTTTGTGGGAGAGATGACCGCGTTCCTGGCGCCCGGGGCAATGAGGGTCGGTTGACGTCCAAGCAGCTCCCCTACGGGCAGTTCGGAAAGTCACAAGACCCCGGGAGATACGGCCGTGAGTGTGGCGGGTTTACCTCGCCGGCGCTCTATTGGGCAGCTCCAATCCGAGGAGCATCGGAAGATTTGGGCGTCCAGTTGAAAGGGGGTTTACCATAGATGTTGGCAGCATGTGTGACTATGGCATAACGATGGCTACTGTGTCGAACGGCTGACTCGAGGAAAAAAGGCTAACAGCTCTCAAAACAGTACTTCATCAGCCCCCCCCCCCCCTTCTCCCCCCAAACATTTCAACAGGGTGGTCATAATCACATCAAATAGCTCATTTACACTGCCTCATCAACCCCTTTAACTTCATTATATGGTGTTGACCTGGATCCTGCTGCGCCGACTCATACCCTCCCCCCCAAAGCAGGCCGGCGGCACCTTCAAGCTTTCCCACCACTGCGACCCCGGCACAGCCCACCACATAGGCAGCGGGAGATTTCAAGAAGACTCAGCAGCGGACGCCGGAGCTTACGAACTGACGCAGCAGCGAATGCTCAGAGATTTGCACACACAGAATTCCCCATTTAAGCATGACTCGAACATCGCTCCCTGTCCCAACGACTCACAAGCAAGAGAACCATTTTTGGGCGTTTTCTGGCCCGCTCAAATCTTATATGGTCCCTTAGGGCAATTTTGACTAGGCTGCTCAGGCAGCAGAAGGGCAGCGGGAAGGATTGTTCATGAGGTCGCGAGTATCATTCTGCCTCGTTCTTGAGCATCCCCATGACTGCCCGTCAAGACTCAGCAGCCAATCGCCCACGTGACGGTAAGGAGCGCTCATCAAAATGACTGGAGGTTTGCCCCATATGTCTAGCCAGAAAAGCCACCCTCCCCGCGGAGCCTCTTCTGAGAGACAAGAGTACACGCCCCTCCCCACTTATGCCCACTCACGCCCTCTTGCCCTCCTCCCCCTCAACGCGTCCGCCCAGTCTTGCGGTCACGACCATGTCGTAACGATCTCATTTCGCGGGAGCTCGGCTTCTCGAACCGCAGAAGGAGTGCGGGTCGGGCTGCAACGCTTGAGGACCAGGAATCAAAAGTATGTCCACTTGAGCCTTGAGGGGGTCCGCCGGACTGGGCCGGACGGGGCAATGTGTGGCCTCAGGGGCCCTTTTCGCCTCTCGCTTCCCTCAGCCCGGTGAGAATTTTCTACATTGTGGGCGCAGAACCCTTGAGACCTTTTGAAGTTGGCCCTGATGGTGCCACGGAGCAAGGACCCTTGTCTGGTGCTGGAAGATGAGCGCTGTCATGAGGCGTTGAAGGCTGTGCATACAGATATATCGCGGCGGTTCGCCAGTGACCCGATGGCATATATCGATGCAGCGTCTCCATACGTAGCCGACGAGCCCTGGCATCGGTGCCAGAGAATTATGGTCAAAATGCAGCTCTTGAATGGTTTCTGTCGGCCCCGTGAGATTACAACTTCATAGCAGGAGACTGATTAGGTTCATAAAATAGACTGGCATAAGTCAAAGTTATACCTGCCAACAACCAGATCGGCATAGTGGCAAGTGAAGCTGAGGGAGCCGCAAATGGTGGAAGGTTTCCAACTACCCGGCACCGGGCCGCCGATTAGAATGGTCTTTCTCGGGTTTCTCAGACAGCTGCCATTGCCTTGCCGAGAAATCAGGATCATCAGAGAGCCGACGTTGCCAGACCAGAGATTATTACCATATTGTATGACCGATCGACCGTCACCCTCTTGGCACATCAAATCATTTCCCCACGAGTGCCGGTACAATAGGTTTAACAGGCCCCATCTCTTGTGATTATGCGTAAGTACACAACGAAACCCTCGGCTGTTACTCCACAAGCAATCATTCAGAAAAGTGGCCGCTAGCTATAACACTGCGCATCGGAGGTAGTACCAAATCGATCACGAGGCTTCGACTGGACCATGGTAATGGACCCCGGGCATGCCCCATCGGCGTGATCTCCGCTTCCCGCCGTGCATAAGCGGGAGATGTAGCCTCGTTCCGCGTGTCATAGCGATCACGTGGTTGTACGGATGGGGACGAGTCTGAAGGTTTACGGCGATCTGCGGCTGATCGAACCAAGTTTGTTTCCTTATACAACACCCAGACGACAAGACCATGAGCCCATAGCTTGCTTCCAGAGACTTCTCGATCAGCCATGTCTGACCTCGTAGCATGATGAAGCCAGTTTCACACCCGGGTTCCTCTGACTGCCAATCGTGAGCGGGACATGGCCAACAACGTGTAACCAGAAGCATGGTGCGACGGTGTTGCCATACAGTGTATCAAGAAGCATACCTGACTGATTGGCGACGTCCAGACACAGTATCAGTAAACACCCCTCTTCACGTACCGAATCTGCTTGATGTGATTTCACGATGACCGTAGTTTATACAGCGAGTGTACAGAAAGCTACACTTTTTTTCTTCGAAACCCCACTCTGGGAAATCATCAGGAACAATAAATAATCTCGTGCGCCAACCAGGCCGTCACTTGACAGCGGCAACTAGAGCTCTAATAAAAGATGATCCGGGGTCACGATACGAGCACCAGTGACGTTCACTGGGGTTGGCGACGGCGAGTGAGCCTAGGCCGAGACACGCGGAGCGCCTCCGCGGAATGCTTGTCTGCCTGATAGGCCTTCTGGATACCGGTACAGGGTGATCAGCCTGTTGTTGCCGTTTGCGGCGAAGGCCGTCTTCGTGAAATGTTGAACAAGCTAAGCCACCGGGTTACCATGTGCGATGCTGGACTAATATCGTCGAACCTTCTGGGCACTCCAGAGAAAGGATAACCAGGCGAAAGCGCGACCTGCATGTCTGAGTTGAATGGTGGGTTGATTTGTGCAAAATCAGAGTGGAGGGCCTGTTCTATTGACGTTGTCCACTGGATGCCCACCAATTGCTGCCGAGTGGCGATGAGGGCGTAGGTTTCGCATATGATCACATTATGCAGCAACGAGTTTGGTCTACGCAGCTATCGAAGAACGGCTCTGAACCAACTTTGGACCGTTAGCTGCCATTGGACAGAGCTAAAAAGGGGTTGTTGGGGTAGGATTTCATACTATTATTGGTATTGAGTCCACCGATACATGGTACCGGACGAACTTCCATGACTGCCTTGGACGAACTAGTGGCCCTAGACACCTTCAGACCGAAGCAACCGATTCTTCACTCAGAGGTAATGAATGGTTGCAGTACCTCGTTCTCCTAGGGGAGCTGTCTCGTGTGATTCTGTGTGAAGATTGGAGGACGCAGACCGAGCCTAGTGAGCCTGTACATCGCGATCGCAAGGCAGACTGACGAGTCGGAGTGGCTCCGGGAACAGTGGCTGCGACGACGCACCGGTCGGTGGGTGAGATTAAGCTCCATCTCCATCTCGCATCCCATGAACCGCAGGGATGTCGGACGGGGTTGCGGAGCATGGGACGCAAGGGTCTGGCACGCTTATGGAAGACGAGCGCCGCGCGATGGCGCGTGTGTGGTTTGTGAGGCGGTGCACCCCGGTGTTCCATCCCGCTGTGCGACGCGTAGTTCAAGCCGGGCGAAGCTCAGGCCAGACTTTATCGTGGGCTTGATCGTGAATCTTGCCAGGATGAATATATAGCATCTGCAGTCGATTGCATAGCCTTCGGGATGGAGGGTATTCTAGAATAAGTAGAAGATTGCGACAGACTCGGAACTATTGGACCCAACCGGGGATATTGAAATTGCGGCGCTGGGCCATGACAGCCCCAGTAGGCCAATTCGGAAAAGGGGTTAGGCGATGGCCACAAGCGGTCAGCATCACTGGTACCACCGCTGTTTGTTCTTTGCAGGCATCGTGGCGGCGCCCCTGGGGCAAGAAAAGGGGCTCACAAACCCGAGGACATTACCATGGAAATGACGGCCCTGGTATGGAACTTTCGAAGAAGTGGAGAGCAGTGGGAGCGTCCCCGCGGGCCTTTCGCTGCCTTGAAGTCGACAGCTGTTGGTAGGGGAGCATCGTGGGGACCAACAAGAACTGGGCGTGCAGATCTAGACACAACGTGACGGCCCGAAGACGTCAAGGGCAGGCGCGCTGGGCTCCTTTGCGAGGCGAACTCGGGTTGGTGTCGATGAAGAGCCGAGTGGCGGCATGCGCCCATGTGCAACTGGTATTGTGGTTTCCTCTGCGTGTCTGGAATTGCTTTTGAAGGCAACATGACAGTAGCCAACTCCTTGTCGGTGCTACATGTATCTGTGGGCTATCCAAGCTTGCAGCATATCCACCCCTAGCCGGGTATGCAACGTGCAAGGAGGTGTCGTTGCTGCAGCAGCAGATGGTGGTACGGATGAACGCGCAGGTTCGTGTTACTTTGAGGCTGGCAGCTCGACGGCTTGCAAGCCAGATCATGTAGCAAAACGGTCTGGTTGAGCGGCATTGATAAACCAGACGACGTTTGGCAGCGTCTTTGCAACCATCACAGATACTCCCACCAACGTGCCCTATGGCATGGAATGGATGCGCCGGTGAACCAACGCCGATGGTCTACAGGTAACCTGGGCAGGCGTATGCAGAGATGGGAAATCATGAAAGTGAGCACGGTGTGGGCGCGGTGATGGTAACCGGGGAGTCAATTCCCTCTCGGTAATGCCACGCAAATTGGATCCCGCGTCCAAGGTGCTGGATCGCCAAATGGACAGGTGGTGGTGGCCTGCGTCACTGTCGGTGAAACGGAACGACGCGGGAGGTGCGGAGTACTTGTGCAGCGGGCGTCCTTGAAATTTGGCGGGCTGTCGCAGCGGCAGCTCGTATCTCGGCACAGAGAGATAGAGAGAGAAAGGGAGGAATGAATGTCTTGGTTTCGGGTGCGCAGGGCTCTTTGCATGTGTTGCAAATTGCGTCTGTGTCGAGTGTATCCATTCGCAAGAGAGACCAATGTGCCTGGTATAGGGTGCGCGGTCAGCATGGTTTGTGGCGCGTGCTGGCTGTTGTGTTGGAGGACGCTGTGAGGGCATTGAAGCACGAGAAGAGAAGGCGACTGAGTGGAGAATAAACTCCACCATGACGTTGAAACACGCCTGACCACGTGCAGAATCAGGCCGATCGCTGGTCGAGAGCTTCCCACGACTGAGAGAGTTTCTCAGCTAGCTTGTCGGAGGCGGGAAACGGAAACCAAGGGCAGTTGGTTGATGATGTTGACCGAGTCGACTGCGGACAGACACGACAATCAATACAAGGCAGACGGCGTGGCGTGTCGGGGATCGGAAGAGGCCGAGAGGACAACGACATGGGCGTCGAGAATGATTCAAGCAAGCAAGACCAAAGTCAAAGTCCAAAGCAAATAAATGCATGTCTGTCTCGCTCCTGCCGGTTCGTATACATTGGGATTGGTGCGCGCGAGAGTGCCTACCTAGGTACCGAAGCAGACGTGGAGAGGGGGTCGGTATCTAGGTGAATACGTATTCTGGACGCTGTCATTGGCTGCAGCTCCTGCATCCGGGGCACTCTGTCCTGCACCTCCCTCTCCCACTTTCTGCACAACACGACTCCGGTTCTGATGCTGCAGGCACGCGCACATTAGCCAGGACTTCCTGCTTCTCGCCAATCGACCTCTGATTGGCCTGCTTCACCGTGTAAGGCGTACACGGTATGTTGGACTGGGCACCAAAGTTTGGTTTCCTGCAAGTCAAACTTCAAAACCCCCCTTCCATCGCTTTTGGATCGATGCAGCCCCCGCTGACTCCGATGCCAATTGGAAACACTCGCAATGGTGACACAGAAAGGTTGATTCGGATACGGTGTTCTTTCTCGCTGTTTAGGGCTGAAGATCAGCAGCACACACGAAACCTACTCGATGATGCGGTGACACCTGGACTAAGGACCATACGAACCATTTTGCCCTCGCTTGTGTTCGTCCGATGAGCGGTTATTGCCCTGGAATCGTGGCCATCGCAAGTCTTCTTTCGCCCCCGACATTTGGGGAAGGGGACCCTTGCTTGCCGTCGGGTCTGGGGGCTACCTACACTTAGTAGTACGGTAGGTACTTTCTCGCTGTGTCCCCAAGGCACCGTGCAAAAACACACACCATCGCGCCATCGCACGGCCGCTGCCAGTCGGTCTAGCCAGTCCCGCTAGTCATGGCTGCACAGTTTGGGTGCAGATGTCGCGGGACGTTTTGTGAGCTCTATCTATAGTGCGTGTTTCCCAGCAACGCACGGCACGATCCATGGCCTTGGACGATCGGTGTGAGAATGGTGTCAAATGGCCACGACAGCAGACAGACGGACGGACGGGCGGGCACGAACGAGACAGGCTTCTTCCCTCTTTCCATTCCACCTAACCCGCGGAGAGCATCCGTAGGCGTTTTTAGATCACTACCGGTCCGTCAGCAAACGAGCCGCCGTCACCGTAACCGCTCAAAGATGACACTGTGCTAGCGTAGCGTCGCGCCTTCCTGTTGTTGTGCGCGTTGTGCCTGGCACCTGCCGTACCCACACAGTCTGGGCCCCTTGGGCCCTGGGCCCTGGGCCGTTCCTTCCCTCGTTTGCACTCTATAATACGTAGTTTAGTAGGTAGCCCGGCCGTGGTTCTGGTGCCACCTTCCCGTCCCTCCTCTTCAAATATGACAACAAACATCCATGGCATCGTGAGAAGGTATAACTACGACTACGACTTCGACTGCGACTACGACTTCGACTGCGACTACGACTTCGACTGCGACTTCGACTGCGATTGCGATTGCGATTCCAATTGCGATTCCAATTGTACGTCTCAGGCAAGTGCAGCCTCTTGGCCACTCATTCACTCTCGATCCTGCCACCTTTCCGTGAATAAATAAAAGAGGAGAAGGGAAGCAGGTAGTAAGTCGGAAAGGAATGGAAAGAAGGAAAAAAACTCAAAAGGGGGACCTCCCATCCTCACGGAGGGGAAAGTCAGACAGACACACGCACGTTTTACACTTCCGAGTATGAACTCCACGGCATCCGTGCCTTCCCGTCCTTGCGTCTCAAATTGAACAAAGTTCCCACGATGGAAATGCAGCTAAGGCCCTTGACGGACATAAGGTAGGTAGGAAATCACGGCTGCCGTGGGTCCCGTCGTCCTCAAGGCAGCCCGGCAACCAAACCCATCGTCCCTCTAGTGTACCCGCGATATCATCCACCTCATCTTCTCCTTGTGGCGTCGGCCAGATAGAAATAGAGATTGCGGGACGCCGGCCCTCTTGTCAAATCAGAGAAGCTTCCCACCAGCGGTGCAGATATTTCACGGAGGGGTAGACCAGGGACCATTGAAACTATCACTGCTACTCGCTAAGTAGGCAGGTCACAGTTCGATTTCGACTTCAGGTCCATCATCAGCGACACTTGATCGCCCCCCCCCCTTTTTTTTTTTTCTATTCTTCTCCTCGGCCATCATCGTCGCTTCACTTCACTGCCCTGCCCTCTTCCCCTTGCACAGGTGAAGCTCCAATATCCGCCGAGGATCCCCTTCTCCGCTGCGACCCTTCTTACCTTTCCGGTTCCATCCCGGACTCGTTGTCTGCTCGTCGTCTTCGGAGCCGACAGATGTCACACGCACGATAACCCAACCCCCCGTCACTGATAGTGAGCCGAGTGCTGAAGAAAAAATGGATGGTGAAAAGTCTGGAGAGATGGGCCCGGTTTTTCACGTAAGGGTTGTCTTCTGAAGGGCGGGTTTCCTTGCCCATTTGGCATCCAAAACCTAGGGTACGGGCTTGAGTGAGCATGGGCACAGCATGGTATAGCACAGCATGGTATAGCACAGCATAGTATAGCACACAGCATGGCATTTTGGCACCCATTTCTCATCAACCTTTGGCACGGGTGCCTCGCAGTCGCAGAGTTTGTCGCGTTCCAGACCATGCTTGTCCGTAGCCATGTCCTTTCCCCTTCTCACTTGGTTGAGTCTACACAAGAAAACTCGCACGCGACAGACCGATACGAGACGAGACGAGACGAGATGAGCCCTTCCTTTCCATGTCCGCCAACATTCTATCCACTCACTATGCAGGCCGTACGGCACACGGTTTGCCGGGGGTACCTGGCTTTTCAGTACCCGACTTTACTGCCCCCCCCCCCCCTCTCTCTCTCTCTCTCTGTCTCTCTCTGTCTCTCTACAACTCCATAGGTAGTCAGGCAGGCGGACGGGCGGGCGGGCGGGCGATCCTCTCTCAGAGCCAGACACTGTCATAGCCTGGCAGGGGGAGGGCGGGCTGGACGGTCAGAGAGCCAGTGCCTATGTCAGCACACAGCTCCCCCTCTCGCATCGACGACACTCTCTGGTCGCAAAGCCGAAAGGTACATCAGCAGAAAGACGTCTCGAGCACCCGGCTATCGCGGACTTGCCAAAGTTTGCCGACCTCGGAACACCTTTCTTCACATCTACGACACAAAAGCCTGGACGGGCTGTGATAGCCCTGACCATAGCCCCATCCGTGATATTGCAAGCCTCCCCCCCCTCAGAGCCCCGACATTCTGGTCTCTTTCTCGTCAAATGGTCGGTCAACACCCCCACTACCCAGAGAACCTAAACGCGAAGGACAGTGACTGGGTCCTTTTAGCGACTGCTGGGGGGGGGGCAATGTTTCCGCACAATGCTCCCAGCGAGGCGATTGACTGACCCTAAGTGCCGTGGACCCCTTATTTTACAGAGGCCAGGTGGTGTGTGGTGAGGTACCTACCTACCTACCGGTACTTTGGCAAATGGGTAGGCGGCTAGGTGCCTGGGATATGTGAACTCAAGGACTCGTAGCCAACGACGACAGGCGAGGGGGGAGAGAAAAGGTACGTTGAACTCGGTATCTTTTCGCATTAGGGCGTCTTCCTTCTGACGGGAGTGACAATGCCCGCCGCCGGTCGCGTTGAACGGGCCATTAGTGGCCCTGTCAGTGTCAAGATCTGGCCCGTCCATTCGTTCCTGGGCCTGTGTGTTTGGGGGTATTTGTGTGTGCGCACGCGGTACCTGCCTAGGTAGGTACCTGCCTACCTACCTTACCTACCTACTTGCCTTGGGTAAGGTAGATAGGTAGATAGATACCAATGTCCATTTGCACACCTAGCCCATCGCTCTTTCCGTCGGCCGGATGGGTGTGTTCATCAGTAGTGCCAATTGTCAGGCTTCCCTCGTCAATGATCAGAGAGAGAACGGGAGAATGCGTGCTAGCCACACCGCAAAGTCACCGAGTGACAGACTACCAATCTACCTACCTAGACTAGGTACTAACCTTACCCCATCGCCTGGACCCGGGTACTGCCCTGCCTCCTGCTCCGTCTCTGGCCCTGCTCCTTCCCCCATGTTGTCTACCAACCTACCTAGGTAGTGTATAGAAACTCAGGCACCCACCAGCCTGGGTACCTAGCTACAGATACACGTACTTTCACTGGGTAGTGCAGAGTGCCCAGGGAGTAAGAAAAGTCCAAAGTCGCTTTCTGCCCTTGGCGCCCATCTCTCCTTACCGTCCCTGATGGTATTTCTCCCCACTTCCCCTAGTGCCCTGGTCTTCTTTTCGCCTTCTGCCGTTGCCACACCCATTTCCTCCCACACCCCCGTTGACTGGTACCCGTCCTCACTGTGGGCCTCTTCATCAGCTGCGTCCACTATCCATCGACGACGAGGGGGGAAAAGAAATACCGGAAGGGGCAGAAAGGAAAGGAAAAAAAAAAAAAAGAAGAAGAGAAGAAGCTCCCCTTTTTAGCCTCCTCTCTTCAGCTTCTTTTTTTTTTACTACAACCATTTTCCCCCCCTCGTTGCTCAATCTTCCCATCCATCCTCTTAACCTCCCCCTTAACCCCCCTTCCCTCTCTTTTCCCTTCCCCCTCGCTCTTGGATATTTGAGCCTCAACACCAGGCGAAAAGCTGCAGCGCCTGTCGTAATCCCCTCACCTCCCTCCCCCTTCCTACTGCTCTATCTTCGTCCTCTACATTTCCGTTTCGCCTTCCAACACACGACCCATACACCATCCACCAACGCCAGCCACTCATCCTTTGCGCGCGTCTGCCCACCACCTTGAAAGGCGCACACCCAGGCGATCGTGTGTCTGCGACTGCGACTGCGACTGCATCTGTCTCTGTGCTGCTGCGCTGCGCTACGTCTTCGGCGGAGAAACGAGAGCAAGCGAGCAAAAAGCAAGCACCGACCCATCTGCGCCCATCCCGCAGCATCCAATCCAAATTCAATACATACCAATCCCGCATCCACGTCTTCCCGCCGGTTACTTGCCGCACTTTCTCATCTTACCTTCCCACGCCCCTACATAACATTCGCCACGGCATTTGTTTTTTGCCCTTCCCCCTCCCCTCGGCCACGGTGTGCGACTATTCTGCCGTTCGCATACTTCAATTCTATTTCTCAGTCCCATCTTTGGGAACCTGCACGACTGTAACGACGAGCGATCCCAACGAGCGAACGGCCGTCCATCGGAAAAGGAAGGAGGAAATAGAGCGACGACGACTACGACGACGACGACAACAACAACAACAACGGAAAAGAAGAATTCCTGCGACTTTCTGTTGCATGATATCTTGCGTGTCTGGCGAACTGCATCCTATTCCTTTTCCGCATACTGCAACTGCATCGCCCACCAAGCCTCAGGACGTCGATTGCTCCCCATCCCACAACACGTCAGTCTTTTGTCGAGGATATTTTTCTCCCGCTGCATTTTGCTAGCTGCCCCTTGCCAACCAGCATCCCCCCCCCCCCCCCCCCCTCCCCCTTCTTCAACCAACCTCTCATACCACTCCCTAGTCGGTACATCACACACAGGTGCTGGATTTCGACCCAGTAGCTGCCAGTCGCCGGGACTCGATCTCAAAGAAAACAATGAGCCAGCAACAACACGACATGTATCTCGACTATTCAGCCCCCCCAAATCGCTCACCGAGCTCCTCGAGGGCGTATGCGGGCGGCTTCCAATCTGGCCTGTCCCTACCCCGTCAGGCCCAGCGTCCTTACGACAACGGCTTGGGCTCTTCTGCCCTGTTCCCCTCCGATCGCCTTGGTTACAACCCCAGAGCCATGGATCAAATGTCCGCCAATGGAATGCCCGGAGGATATATGCTAGACAACAGCCAGACATGGAACTACAATGCCAGCGGTGTTGCAACCGTCAGCGGTGCCATGAATGGCGCCAACAGACAGAGGAGCGTCAACCGCCGAGCCGCCCTGCCCACAGTAAGTCTTTGATGCCCTTGGACCATTCACATTTATTGTAGCTGTAAACTGATCTCCACTGTTGAAGAACTGGACCGACCAGGGCCTCGGTATGCATGGGTCATACGGATCCAGCATTAACGGCGGAATGTCGAACGGTCTTCGCTACGACGGACAAGGCGACATGCGGCCCAGCTCACAAACAGAGGAGCAGCTGATCCCTACCGCCATTGTTATCAAGAATATTCCCTTCGCTGTGCGCAAAGAGACCCTTGCTGCCGTCATGTTGGAAATGCATCTTCCTCAACCCTATGCCTTCAACTACCACTTCGACAACGGGGTCTTCCGCGGTTTGGCCTTTGCCAACTTCCAGTCTCCTGAAGATACCAAGATTGTCATCGATGCCATGAATGGTATGGAAGTTCACGGCCGCAAGCTGAGGGTTGAATACAAGAAGATGCTGCCGGAGGCCGAGCGAGAGCGTATTGAACGTGAGAAGAGGGAGAGACGCGGACAACTCGAGGAGCAACACCGCGCCCCGATGCTGCACCAGCAGCCATCTTTGCAGACTCTGAACAGTGTCTCGAGCAACCCGCCCCGTGGTCCACTAGGTAAGCTAAACTCGCTGCATTGTACAATAAGTGCATACTGACGAAACAGATGGAGATATTGACCTGAATGACCCGGAGACTCTCGAATTCTACACCGAGCTCACTCTTTTCAAGCGTGACACATCCCGCGAAATTCTCATCTTCCCCTCCACCATTGCGCCTGAACAGCGCCGACGGATTCACATACTGGCCCACCACATGGGTCTAGAACATAACTCTGTTGGGGAGGCCGAGTCGCGCCAGATCCACGTAGTTAAGCGACAGCTTCCGTCGCCCACGGCCCAAATTCATTCACCTGCTGTCGGGCTGGACTACCACAAGAAGGGTCTCAGCAGAGCAGCCACCTTCGACTTCGCCGCGGACCGGGAGGCTCGCAGTGCCAGCACCAACTATTCCCATGCTATCGGCCGCCAGGGCCCGACACTGGAGCTTCCTGGCAGCCCTGATGGAAACGGTCTTGCTAACCTTCGTGCTGCCAAGAGCTTTGCCGATCTGCGGTCTTTTAGCCCAAGCCCGTCTGCGTCCTCCTCGGGCTACCTGACCGCAATGAACGGTATTGGTAACATCCCGCAGTCGGGTAACTCAAATCCCCGCTTTGGCGACTACAACGGAGGCGTGAACCAGTCAGGTCAACTTGCTACGCCCAACCTGACGCCCACTTCCGGTACGGTTGGCACCCCCGGAACCGACAGCAGCCTCCTCAGCTCGCTCGGCGGACTCAACCTCGGATCGTACGAGTCTGCCGCTCACTCCCAAGCGCGCAGCACACCTGGTGCCATTGGGAGCCAGCGCCCTGGTGCTAACAGCGGCAACCGCAACGCCCCCGAGAGGCAGCCCCGAGGTCCCGAGTGGGAAACGTCTGCTGGTTTCAACGGCCGCAACCGTTCCAACGGCCACATGCAACGCGGAAGCGGTTAGTCTACACTACGCCCCCTTCCCTTTACCTGACCGAACCTCTCCCAGTCTAACTAGCGATAGACTCTTCAGACAATGCCCCTCGCGCTGGAAGTGCCGGCGCGTCTCGATTCCACTAGACAAGATTTTTAATACCTCGCCGAGACTGCCACAACAACCATTACAATGAGGACACGATTCATGACTCGCGACGCATAGACTACAAACGACATTCGACGAGTTCACCAAGCCCCTCCCCGGCTCGGTAATTGACAACCCCCCTGTGTTATATCCGCCATTGCTTTTCATGAGGGACACTCTCCCACATCCTATCCATACTGCTTATAATGATGATTTTGTTGGAAACGAGCCTTTGGCAGCGTCATGATGTTTAGCTCGGCCGTCTCGGATTTGGTGGATAGAAGAATCCAATGTCGTGGCGGCATCCGATTTTGGATTCACGGCACCCGCCCGGCAAGGAAATCTCGGCTCATCGCTGTTTCACGCCAAGAGAAGGATGAACGGAAAAGAAACCTGGATACACACAAAAAAAAACTTGATATGGGCAACCATTTCGACATGGCTAAACGGCCCATGGGCGGTCCCTCTATACCCTCGTGTTTCCCCGCCATGTCTTCATTACATGGCGCGCGGAAGCATATGAACCACCCTTGACGATGAATACGCTGTTACGACCTTTTTATGTCTAGATAGCTGTACCGGCATGCTCGACAAAACCCGATTGTTTTTGGATGACGAGAACATGCTTCGGCGACCATGACTATACCCACCTAATTACTGCGGTCCGGCATCACAACAAGACTATCCAAGGCCGGCGTTGTCTTTTTGGTCTCATGACCATGGCCGGTTGGAGTGTCGACTTCAGAACAACAACACCAGCCCTTGAGCGGCTCACTGAGAAAAAGAAAAGTTGAAACTGATTTGGGGCGTTGTTTCGTACTGGCATTTCTCGTTTTGGTAACATTTCCTCTCGGTGGTTCCAAACCCCTCGTTCCTCTCTCGGTCCTTTTGAAACCACACTCTCAATCCCTTTCGAGTGCGTCATCGTCCACGAACTCATCTATTCACTCTCTAGATGGTCTTTGGGAACACCTAGTGGGATCGTTGGCGTTGAGGCTGCATCGGAGCTGCTTGTTCGTGTTTCGGTCTCTTGCGGCCTGTTTGTTAGAGTTTGCTATTTTGTTGATTATTTACCATGCATTTTGCGAGCATCTTGGAAGAAGAGGACAGGAAGAGATTTGTGGATGACAAATATCGTGTCGATGAGTCAGGAGATGAGATGACAGAGTGCGAGGATTGCCGGGCATTCTATTTGCTTGCGGTATTGTGCCTCGGGCACGTGGATAATTCGAAGGAGGATGAGGATATGGAGAGAGCCGCACACACGGGGCCACTGCCGTTTTGCGCCTTGTCAAATATACTGCGTTTGGTTTCATACTTTTCAGTTCTCACGATGAATGAATTTTTATGAAGCTTCCTTCTCAGATGGAGTAGGGATGGGACGAGAAATGAATGAGTGATCAATGCTGGTTGGGTTTCCGTGACACAGGTCGATTTCGCAACGACATTCTCAACCTGGCCATCAAGTTTTGCCTTTCCTCTCTTGTCTTGTGATCCCCAAGGCCATTGGAATAACAAAAAAGATGTGATGTTGATGAAACGGAGGGGCGTGATCGCGTCGTTGTCCATCCACGTCGAGACCCTGAGATCAGGGACCCTGTTTTCCCCCAAGAGGTCGTCAAAAGAAGACATCGCTCCATCACCGATCCGAACTTGCTCTCGGTCCGAACGTCCTGAGACGCTCTTTGAGCGCAGAGGCGGCGTGGGAGGTAGCGCCCGGGTTTGCCGAGAGTTTGTCGTAGCTTGATACTGACCTGTCACTGTTTGGGCCAGCAATTACCCCCAATCCGCCGGTGTCTGCAGTGATCCAGTCACCGTGTGCCATTCGCATGTGCTTCAAGGGACGTCTCGGGCTTTCCTCCCAGACGCCTTGGAAACAAACGTTTGCCTCACTTCTGGACCTGGAAGTTACCCGGGAGTCCATATAGCTCGGCGTCGGAACGGCGCTCTTGTTGGATCCACAGACAAGAACGTAGGCAGCTGGACGGGACGGCATCATTTTGCGGACCTCACTCTAAACATAGAGAAAGGGGGTGAAAAGCCAGACAAGCCCTTGTCGTCGAGAGGGGGAGGGGGCACGGCAGCGATGACCAGACCACCGCAACTCAAGAGCCCCGAAAGCTCTCCGCGCCGCCCGGACGGATCTCGCACCCCACGCAGGGCATCGCCATACGGCCCTCCTCCGGCAACACCGAGAGCTGCTGCTCAGCCCCCTCTTCCCAGCCACGGCCATCAAGCACGGAGCTCCTTGCCCTCGACCCCCCAGGCTCTTCCGATCCCGCGTCCCAGACGCTCCTCCCCCCCGGCCTCTTTCCTCCCGTGGCCGCCGCGGCCGCCACCCCCTCGCCCCTGGACCTGGCGCTGCCACAACTGCAACACCCTCACCCGCCTTGCCTGCACGCGGCGCTGCCTCCGCTGCAGCCACCGGCTCTGCATCCGGGTCCGTCGCTGGCGGACGTCTAGATGGTGACGATGGCAGCAGCTCCACCACGGCGTTAGATGGGGGTCTGGAACCGTGGCAGACCGTCGATCTGGTGATGCTCGAGGGTTCGCTGGTGCGCATGGCAGCCGGGAGGCTAGAGCGGGATGATGGACGGGGCTGTGAGGATGAGGGTCCTCGTTACGAGGAGGTTGAGGACGTCGAAAAGGGAAACGGCGGGATGGTGGCTTGACGCAACCGCCCTCCGTCGAAGGGAAGAAGTCAAGTATGCACATCGTCGAGCATAAGCAGAGTAGAAAGCCAGAAAGATCTTGCACCCCACCCATTACAATTTTATTTCGTCTACCTAAGCCCATCAGCCAAGTGCCGTATCCGCGCGTGCCTTGTTGGGAACTGAAACAGGAACCTCGAAATGTTATACATTGTTGAGCTGAGTGCCAGACTCGGGGCGAATCTGCCTGCGCAGGCCTTGGAAGCGTGCAGGCCGGTCCTGCAACGCCGTCATGAACAACGCGCTCTTGGCTCTTTTGCGGCCTCTTTCAGCACCGTTGCCCGTTCACGTCTCCAAGATGGAAAATCCCAGCATGCACCCACACTTGAGTCACTGCATGCTCTTCTTTTGTTTTGTTTCCAAAGACGTCATGAGGCAGATTATGCAACCTCTAGCGCACCTGCACCATCCTCATTTCTGACCAGTGTCAAGGAAAGCAGAAAAAGAGCATCCCATCAGACCGAACCGCACCCCCCCAGAAAAACTACCGTCCTAAGAAAAAAGACAACCGGGAATAATATCAATGTTGATTGTGTTGCAAGGCATGTCGGGTGTTTATGCCTCGAGCGCCTTGGCCTTCTTCTTCTGCTCCACCTTGAGGAGGAGCGCGCGGTTGATGTGTGGCAGGACACCACCAAAGGCGATGGTGGCACGGATCAGAGTGTCGAGCTCCTCGTCACCACGGATGGCGAGCTGCAGGTGGCGGGGAGTGATACGCTTGACCTTGAGATCCTTGGCGGCGTTCTACGGGACGCGTGTTAGTCACGAGTTCAGGCAGCAATCCCGATGAGCCAACGGGATACGCGGGGGGAAGAGGGGAGGCAGGGAGAAGGGGAGACGTACGCCTGCGAGCTCGAGGACTTCGGCAGTGAGGTACTCGAGAACGGCGGTGACATAGACGGCAGCCTTGGCGCCGACGCGCATTTTGTTTTGAGTGTTGGCCTTGAGAAAACGCTTGACACGACCGCAGGGGAACTGAAGAGTGCGTGGTTAGCAACCTGTAACGGCCAGCCTGAGAAATTTTCATCGCTGCGTGCTTGCGCCATTTGGTTTCGAGCCCGACTCATCCATCGTGCACGCGACCAGTATCCAGTACATCATGACAAGCCACGTATACGACGCAAAAGAAGGGGGGAGGAATGGTCGCGCAACATGGTTATCGATGAAACCTGGCGCAGCGCGTGGGAAATCGATAGAGAAAAGTTGGGCCGGTCGAGTATTGCGACTGGGACGCGTCGAAAAGGGAGCCCATGTGTTGGTCGACGCTCGATATCGAGGCCCCAAAAATCAAGGTGCAAAACCGGCGCATCATCAATAGAGCGCGCAACTTACCTGGAGACCAGCGCGAGCAGAGTGGCTCTGCTGCTTCTTGGGGACCTCGGCCGCAGCCTTGCCTCCGGACGTCTTTCCGCCAGACTTTCCCTTGCCACCAGCCATTGTTGCTAATGTTGATGCGAGGGCGCGAAGATTCGGGGAGGAATAAAATTCGATGATTCGGTCAAAGCGGGGATGGGATGCGCGATGTCGAATGCAAGTTCTAAGAGAGAAATAAAATCAAGTGTCTACGTGAACAAGGCTGTTGCGGGTTCGTGTTGGATTTGGAGGGGTTGTCGAAGGGAGCTTCGGTGGAGGTGGATGGAGATGACAGAAATTTAGCTGCAAGACTGGACGGTGATTGTTGTTGTTCGTCGGTGACGGCAGGGGGGGGGGGGGGAGGGCGAATGGGGAGGGAGCTGTCGGGGCGAGCAAAAATCGCTGATCGGTGTACGGAGTAGTGTGGTATGGATAGCTGAGGTGTGAGAGAGGGGGGGGGTCGGCAGGTGGTGGGTGCTGCTGCTGCTGCTGCTGCTGCTGCTGCTGCTGCTCTGTCGTTCACGGTCCACGGTTCGCCAGAGAGTCAGTCTGCTACTGTTTCTGCGAATGCTGCTGGTGCTTCTGCCTCGCCTCCCTCAGAGTTTGCTGATGAGCTCTTGGGCGCTCCTATTCGTCGGATGGAGCTCCTGTTGTGGATGGCTGGCTGGCTGGCTGTGTTATGGCGCTAGCGGCGGGTACGCCAGTTTCGTGGACGGAGTGTTATGGTCGGAATGTTGCGTCGGCCGAAGTAAACCCGGCCCGCACAGGGGGGCCAGGAACCGCCGGGCTGAGCGAGCGAGTGCTGTGTGATGAGTGAGGCAGCAGAAGCTGCAGCTGAATGCGTAGCACACGGCACTGACCGCAACAGGATCATTCTGAGGAAAGAAGATGAATAGTAGCAGGTAGAAAGGCTTCTTCAGCTCGACCAAGCTGCCTGGAGATCAGGAGAAGCCATGGTGGCAAGGAAGTGCATACATACATACCTTGGCTTTACCTTGAAGTGAGGCTCTGCGACGCATGACAGCAGCAGGCCTCGGCCTAGCCAGCTGCATTGCGACGGGATGGTCAAATAGAGCTCATATAACAATGAGACGTAGCTTCCCTGTCAGTCTGGATCGAAATGCAGCCTGCCTCGGGCCATGAAGGGGATGTGCTACCATCTGGACAACGTCGTTGCTGTTGTTGACCTGGATGTCGACGCAAAACGCAGACCGAGAAAGCGTCCCGCACGAGGCTGGTGAGCACTTGTATGGCGTAGCTTCACGTGATGTGGCTTGTATGATCTTTGGTATCTAATCGACTCACCACCTCCCTCTATCCTATCTCGTCCTATCCACCCGCCCCACTCATTCGGATATCTGGCCCCGTAAAGTCCGGAGATCACTGATGACAGGTACAGGGCGATGCTTTTGGTCAGCCAGCTGGGGCCAGACGCGACCAGCTGTCGCTCACCCCTTTCTCGATCTAATCTCTCCCTCTTCCCTCTTCAATCTTCCCTTGTCTCCCTAGCCCCCCTCTTTACTCTAGTATCCACGAGAGTTTGCGTACACTTACGTTTTTGCCAAAGTCCGAAACTTTGCCCAACTCAATTTAAGTCACCTGATAGTACGGTTTTGTCTATACGGTAAACCTAGGAGGGGAAGCAGCAGCAGCAGTAGCAGCAGCGCAGCAGCATGATGAAATTACCGTGCCATCTCACCATCGCCTGGATGCTCGACCGGGCGGCCTGTGTTCATTGATTGATCATCGACGAAATACGCAACAGTATGCTGCAAAGAGGCCCAGCATGCAGGTTAAACCGAAACCTCCCCCCCCCCCTCCTCCCATCACCCTCTCGTGTGTTACATCGCGCCTTTTGAGCGACGTCCGACCTTCGCCCAGCCAAGTCCGTGTGACGCCCCTTCGCCGTGTCGGCTCATCAAAGCTTGATCTGTGCAGTCGACAAAACTGCTGCATATTGAAAATCACACTCTCCTCTCCTCTCCTCCTCTCCTCCTCCCTTCCCTATCCGCGGTCAGTCACCGACGTCGCTCACGACACTTGGATTCCTGCCAGATTGCCAGTAGCTCTCCGAAATGGCAAATATTAAAATGGTGGAATGCGGGGGATGGCTTCGACCGCTCAATGGTTGATATCGCCAGGCAAGCTCACTTTCTTGAAACGTTCCTTGAAGAAGGCCGGGATGGCTTGGCCGATTCGAGCCACTCCTATCCGGCCATGGGGTCCTGTAGAGGGCCCCTGGCTGCCTTAGTGGCCCTGAGCTTCTCTCGGAGCTCTGTGCGAGGCCACATGAAGGCCCCGGGAGCCGTCTGGACGACCCTAACGTAGTAGTAACTGGTAAGGGAAGCAGGTGAGCTAAGGGGGGGGGGGGGGGGGAGGGAGGGAGGGCGCGGGACCCCTAGTTATTCGAAACGTGCGACACACCCAAAGCCTAACACCGTCGACCCTAGGTTACTAAAGTTGGACATGAAGATGCTTGGCCACGTTTTGAGGGAGCCTGAGGCTGACTGAGCGGCCCAAGGTGATGTGCCATAATTGTGCGGGAAGGCCTCCTGGCTTGGCAAGCAAGGCCTTCTCTGTTACTTAGGTACGGATATAGAGGGAGGTTTTCTAATACAAGGAGAGTCCTCTAAACGGCGCTGCAGACGGACAGGAATAAACGATCAAGGTTTAGAGGGAAGGGGGGGGCCTTTTTCCTCCTTGCTGTTCTAGAATCCTAGACCTGTCGGCCAAATTCTCTCTCTTTCTCTCCCTCATTCAACTTGCTCCACCACCTTTCATTCATAAGACAGACAACAAGACCATTCGGCTCGATCAGCAAATGCCCATACCACTCTCGTTCGACGACCCTGACGCTCAGTAATAGCATCGACGCCCGAACGAAGACCGCGAAGCCCACGGGCCCAGACCCCCCACCTTCAACTACCGAGGTGTCTTAGACCGCAAAGGTACTTGACTTGTGGCCCGGTGCCAGTACATCGATCGCGTACCCCTCGGGTCACTCACTCTTGGCTGCTCTGTCACCCTCCCTCTCCCCCCTTCTCCTCCTCCTCCGCCTTCTCCTCCTCTTGGAATCATCCAAGCCAAGGGCGCACTACACACACCATTTGCACCGCGTTTGCGCCGGAACACGCGCGCCGTACCAAGTCTCGGGCTCTCTCCTCCCGGCGGGGTCCTTAGTAGCCAACCACCCAGCCCATGATCGCTGCGTGGCGGTCGCAATTCCAGCCCGTCCGTTGCAGCTGCCTCTAAAAAGGTGAGACGAGACCACTTGCGATGCCTGGTGGTAAGACAAGATGGTTACTGACTCTCCTCCTTCAGTCTTTTCCCACTAGTGTCTCTACTATATGCCGCGCGCCTTGGTTCATGGGAAACTTTGCGCTTGCTGCATAGTATTCAACCCGAGCGGAACCCCCCCAAAGAAAACCCCAGGAACGAGAAAGCAACCCTGCATCAGACCAGGTCAAGCAAGTCAAGTCCGTAGTCTGCAAGTGGGAGAACGAAGAAGAAACGAAAGAGCCCAGGGCGGGCGGGCTACCGCATCTCAGATCGATCAACATTCAGGTCGTTCGCGCTTTACCACCACTGCCGTCCCCCATCTTCTTTTTCCCCATCTTCTTCTTCTTCTACTTCTTCTTCTTCTTCTTCTTCTTCTTCTTCTTCTTCTTCTTCTTCTTCTTCTTCCTCCTCCTCTTCTGCCGCTGCTGCTGCTGCTTTCCGTTTTTTTAACCCTCTTCCCTCTCTTACCATCTACCCGTCTTCTTTCTCTCCTGAACCAGAACAATGTCCAATCCATCTTTAGCCACTGAGGCTACGATTGCAGACATTGGCTAAGACCAGACGACCCGCCCTGCCCCTTCACTTATCCCTCGTCAGCTCACTGACTCTCGGCCACCCACCAAACTCAACTCTCATACTCTCTCACACTCCTATGACCTCCATCCCTCGGCCCTCGCCCCATCTTTTCGCCTGGGATTCCCGGCGCGGCTCATAGACCCGTTTCACATCGGCTCTCTTTGTAGCACGCCGGGTTCCAACCAGTTTCAACCCTCCGTGACGAGGGTATCCCCGGTCGCCCAGCCGACCCGCAACAACCCACCTCGTGTGTGCGACGGCACATAACACCCGCTGGCGGTGCGCCGCCGTCGAGCCCTCCTCCAATATATCTCCCCGTGCCGGGCTCACTATGGATGACGTCGTCCGCTCGTTCGGCAGGAGCGTGTCCCGTGCTGCTCGCAGCGTCCGCAATAAGGTCCAGCGAGACCAACCTTCGTCCGATACCTTCTCCTCGGCCTCCGCCTCATCGTCGGGCCCATCTCTGGCCGCTGCGTCTCCCGGCGCCGAGGCCACCGCACACGCTCCTCATGCTCATGCTCATACTCATACTCACGCTCATGCTCTTGCACCGACATCCACCCCTGCACCAAACCCTCAACCCGATCTCGAAGCCCAACATCCGACTCAAACGGCGACTCATTCGCAATACACGGCCGTGCCGCTTGCCTCGCCGCCGCCCTTCACCCCGACTGCGCCGGAGCCGGCTTCGTTGCCTGCCCACACAGTGCCTCATAACCATGTCCTCCCTACGCTGACTCTTGGCCCATCAGCTCAATATCCAAATCACGACGACGCACCTCCTCATGCAGCTCTTACCGCTCACTCAATCGGCACCTCATCCACCTCTGACGCCCAGACCTTGACCAACAATATTACTACCCAAACTCTCACCGTCCCGGGCACTCAGTCTCAGCCCGTGTCACCGTTGTCACCTCCAACGGCTGCGCTTCACACACCCAGCACGGCTCAGCTCTCTCCCTCATTCACTCCATCTGCTATATCTTTCGCACCGCAGATTCATCCTAATTCCCCGTCACCTCAACCGCTCAACCTCTCGGCCGCCGCCTCACCCGCTCAGTACATACCCTCACCTCTCGAGTCACCCCTCCCCCTCGAGCTCGAGCAGCAAATCTCCGGCAAAGATGGCGGCTCAATCCGACCCCAGAGCTCCCGGCCTCGCACATCCCGATCCCGGCGGGACTCGGTCATTGAGAAAGTCGCCTCCCTGGACCCCCGCCGCCGCCCCCGCAGCATCGGCCCCAAGACGGGCAACAGCCTCATGGACCTCCCACCCGAACTGCACCTTATGATCATCGACTACCTCGAGTTCGGTGAGCTTGAGAACCTGCGCCGCACCTGCCGCTTCTACCGCAACTTCCTCACGAAACAGACCATCCGGGACCTCTTTGGCGAACAGTTCCGTCTCGCCTTGCTGGCGCACTGCTACATTTGCCTAAAGTACGACCCTACGCGTGGAAGCCTGCTCTGGGCCGACTATAACCACCCGCGCTATCCGCTCGCCAGCAAGTGCGTCGACTGTGCGTACCAGGAGGACGAACTGGCAGTAGGCAAGAAGGTGGCTCTGGGGAACTACGCCAGCGTGTGGATCTGCCGGTGGTGTGGCTATCCCGTCGCGAGCGCCGCGGCGCCCAACCAGCCCGAGTTTCACAAGGAATGCTACAGCCATTACAATAACGTTCTCCTTGTATATTTCGTCTTGGGCTGGATTCAGTTAAGTCTCGGTATTGTCGCCTCTGGGCTATGCTGGAGGTTCTTCCGGGACGAAATCTTGGTCTTGGTGGCTGCCATTGTAAGTTCTTTTTTTTTTTCTTTTTTCTTATTATTATCACGAGCCTCGTGCGGAGTTGTTTTGCTTACTCGAGTAGGTCAATTTCGTTTTGCTGTGGTGGTGCCTGGCCTTTCTTGTTGTCAGAGGTGAGCACAAGCGCACATATCACTTTACTGGTATACTCGAAGCCGCGATCCTCGCCCTCTGGTGTTTGCCTCTTTACGTCCTTGTCAACGACGTGGAAGGCGGCGTAGAAGGAACCTGGGATAGAAGGGTCCTCGTGACCCTGATCTTCATTGTGCTGAACATGTACGTCGCATGTCCGTTCCTATCCCCTGTTAACAACCACTCACATAAGCAGGGCTTTTCGCCTGTTAAACCTCCTCGGCAACATCATTCTCACGCTCGAGTGGCGACACTTTGCACGGAAGAAGCCAAGGCTCACGCCGGCTGGCCGGTTCGCCAACATGGTCCTGGCCTTCCTCGTATACTGGACCTACCCGCAGGCCGTCGAGCAGGAATACCCCCCTCAGTACCACTTCATCAACACCGGCCGACGGCGTGTTAAGAGAATCCTCGCCGAGAGGAATGCCCAGCGGCAGCGGGAACAGCTGCAAATAATGACCATGATGTACTGAAAACGAAGATCGAGATATCCTTCTTGGGAGGAGTAATGTGGTGGCTGAAGTTAATGGAGGGATGTTAATCATGGGGCGTCGCTGGGCTCGGTATGAGCAGCGTGTAAGAGATGGGATTTTGTTTGGTCTCGGGATCGCCCGTGCACGTATTTTATGCCGAGACGGTGGATTGTCATGGCGATAACGGCGCAAAGAAGACGGAAGGGCCATATGCATGATTGCAGGTAATGATACCCTGCCCAGCAGCCTGTTGGATCATACAGCACGACACTGGCGCTGGTTATGATCCATGTTTAGTAGCGATGAATACTCCTCTTTCTTACACATATTCTCGTGGAAGGAGACAAACAAGATTATAGACATTTCCTCTCAGCCGATGTCCACGTCCACAAATATGGGCAAACTGCTAAGTGAGTATCGAGTCTCCGGCCCCAGGTCCTGATCCGCGGACAGAAGACCTTCGCCTAGATCACCGCCGTTGTAGCCATTCCTCATTCTTTTGCAAACAGTATGTTTTGGTATTTGCAACAGATGCGGGCTTACGTCGCCATCGTCAACATTTGGCCCGCATTGCTCGTATGAGATCGGAATCCGCCTTCTTGCAGTATCAGCTTTCCGAGTCGAGTTATCATATGGGCACGTTCGAGCGCCAGGAGCAAGCCGTACGCTGTGTCATCAACACTTTCCTCTCCAGACCGACCCAATCCTCAAGCATTTAGAGACGACCATCGAGATAACAGCCGCAAGCATGACTCCTCCGCCAAAGGTCCATGTCCCCTGGAACTCCCTCTGGACGTCCGCCGTCCCGTCTCCCTGCGGCCTCTGCGCTGCGCCTCCGATCGGGTTCCCCACCAACGCGCCGAAGCTAGCGATCGTGTATCCCATGCCCATCCTCGTCCCGTACTCGGACAAGTCGTCCGTCAGGTTCGCGATCGTGGCCGGCGGCAGCGAGACCATGCCTCCCGAGATGAACCCGTAGACGATGGAGATGGCGATGAGTCCCGGCAGGTCGTGCGCGAAACGGAAGAGGAAAAGCACGATGGCGGAGCCGATGCAGCCGGGCAGCGTGATGGTCATGCCGCCGTACTTGTCGGCAAGCCAGTTCGGGGCCAGACGGCCGAAGAGGCATTAGGGTCGACACCTAAGCGAATGGCGTACGCATCTGCAAAGAAGAAAGGCACGTAGACGGAGCCGATCATCAACGCGGATGCTGAGGATGTTGTAAGCGGAAGCGTTGGATGGCAAGATCAGAGGTTGTTAAAAAGGCACATATAACCAGGACGATATTGTCTTTTGACCAAAAACAATCACCCGAATTAATTGAATGAGACGAATGGCGGGGCGAGAAGAAGTATGAATCTCATAATCTCATATCATCATCGCTCAGTAAGCCCCCTTCGGCTTGATTAGCTTCGGCTTCGGCTCCGGGCCCTTTCTGGCCCACTAAACTGGACAAGACCAGTAAGAAAGAAAGAAAAGGCCAATTGGGTTAAACCAAAAGGTGCGGCCTATATAGGGCGATTTCAATAACGACTAGTAGGAAAGAAGAAAACAAAGCCACTCGGGCGCGCAGGATAAGTATCTCACAGGACAGGTGATGTTTACACCACAAAGAAAGTCGCGGCAGAAGCGAAAAAGAAAAAGGAAGAACCCGTAAGAGTGGCTGTACCAATCGCGGTGAGGATTTGAGCCTCACGCGGGGGTCGAACCCGCAACCTTGAGATTAAGAGTCTCACGCTCTACCGATTGAGCTAGCAAGGCGGGTCTTGTTGTTGTTGAAGGAATTCGCAAATCCAACCTTCAAGTACTCTTTGTAAACTTTGGCTATCCCATCTCTCTCTAACAAGCTTTTGTTCCCTCGACCGCATGCCATGACGATGGTTTGCAATTTCACCTCTTTGTAGTCTCAATCTGACAATAAGCCTCTCAAACCCTCCTCCAGGGTATCCATCCCCCTCCGCACCTTGTATCCTCCATACGTGTCCGCAGCCATGATACCACCCGGCAAGAAGCTCTTAGTCATCTCCACAAACATATCCGCCATCGACTTTTTGAAGGTTTGCGCGAATAATCCCTCCAACTCTTCATCTCTCACCAGCCTCAACTCAACCTCTTTTTTCAGGGCCGCCTCAAAGGCCCTCTGGACGTCCCGTGTCGAATACAGCCGTGGGCCCTGGAGGTCAAAGACATGAGAGTTGTGCAGCAGCGGTGATCTCGCGCCAAGCACCTGCGCCGCGCACGTCTGGCCGATGTCTCTCACTGATACCTGTTGTTTCGTGTGAATCAGTGTTCAACCATGCCAACCACATCACCAGTCGTCGCAGCCATCACATATCATGGGGATTTTTAAGTCTTCGGGACACAGGACGGAGTAGAAGAACGATGACTCGGCCTTGAGCGTCTCAAGCGCTGCCTTCCAATTCTTCATGAAGTAGGCGCGCCGGACAAAGACCACTTCAGGAGCGGCGCCGGTGAGGACTTGCTCCGCCTCATACTTTGTCTTGACCACGCCCTATGTTTCTCATTTTCATGTTACTCACCCAAAAATCGTCCGGAGCTGCTATTTATCTCGACTCTTTGGACCAAACTCACCGTACCATGTTCCAAGTGAGCCCCCGCACTCGACACGTACACCACCCGTTGCACAGTACCCACCGCCCTTCCGATGGCATACTTGACATTTGCAGCCATCTCCCGTGCCCTCGCGGTCGGCTCGGACTCGGAGTAAAATGGCGGGGTGATGGTCACGACAGCGTCCGCGCCGGCCAACTTGAGGGTCCCGACATTGGCGACGTCGCCCGCGGGTGATCTCGGAACTCGGCAGGCACCCTTCCCAGGTCTCGGTAGACTCCCGTCACGTAGAGATTGGAGGCATCGTCTAAAAGGGCTTAAATTGTGGCCTGCCCAGTATTGGGTGACGCCGGGACAACAAAGACGTGCATCGCAAGTGGATGGTGGTGCTCTCCGAGGTCGCTGGATCAAACCGGCCAGCCGCCCGACTAAAATCGGCGCTTGACCATAATCACGGGAGCTCCGCCGTTGAGGCCTGTGAAATATATATAACATAATAATCACTGTTTGATATATGACATCATACGAAAAAGGTCTATTTTCGCCTCTATCGGTCGCCTGCGTCCTGCACCTCGCCTTCGCGTCCCGTCCATGCGTCAGTGGCTGGCTATGTTTAACTTCCAAAGCTTCGCACCCCAATTCCTCAATTTGAGACATCTGTGAGTCAGTCGTATGAGCTGAGCCTAATATCTTGCTTGATATATCGACGCTTCGAACCCTCTGCAACGTACAGTGTCCTATCAATAGTCCGCAAACTCAAGAGGTGGTCAAGTGGATGGTGCACGACAGGACACTGTAGATTAAATTAGGCATACATACACATACGCCGAGCTATTTCGGGCGGCTTTCTACATTTGCTCCTCTCTTCCCATTACCTAGTCGTCCCAGACCGAGAGGGGGTTTGTCCCAACAAGAAGGTTTGGACGGCAACGGAGCAAACTCCGACTGGGCTGCCTCAACCCTAAGGATCATCCCCGACACCCCCTCCTGGGACCGGCTTCAAGGAACAAGGAGAGCTGTGTCAGTCCAGACGTTTATGACGGCCGAGCTTCGATCTGGCTTACCTGGCACCAATGTCCCTTCGGTAGAACATGCCTTCAAAGTGGATGTTTTCGAATCCTACGTAGGCAGCTAAGACTGCTTCTTTGAGAGTCTTTTCCAGTCGCTGCGACGGACAAGACACGGCCACCTGCCGTTCTTGGTTCACTACCAACTCGTTCAGTGCCTGCATGGAAGATGTGTACACTTGCGGGTGTGAGCGGCTGTCTCGTCGAAGCGTCAATCGGCTCACATTGGGGAGACGTGTCCATCTGGACGATATCACTCTTGCGATATGATTCCGGATACCCACCCGCTGTGACAGTGATGTTGCAAGCGAATTCCGAAGGCACAATTAATTTGACATCAGGAAGAGCTTCGTCTGAAAGGAGTAGTACCGTGTTCTACGTCTCGGGGCCTCCAAATCGAGAGTTATACTCAAGCACTTTAAGAACCGGGCGAACTCACCATTCAGCTCAAGACTACGAACCGTTGGTCGAATAACGGTTTCTTCAATTTCGGCCATTTCTGCGGCGGAAACGGACGGAGCCGGTGTTTACACGCTCATACCGTCTGTGTTCAATCCCTTGTCACTGTCATGAGCCCGATCGTGGTCTTGGCCAGGGGGCAATGACAGGAGAGAACGCTGATCTCATAGCCTTCCAGGTCCTCTTCAATGATTACCGTTTCACCAGATTTGCCGGATTTGCTGCTGAGCATTATCATTTCTACAGCTTTCTCTGCCTCTTCGGGCGTCCCGGGAAGAATAATACCCTTTCCCGTGGCGAGGCCATCCGCTTTGATGACGAATCTGCGGTCTGACTTTTTCAGCAACACTTCAGCATTCTCATATTCCATTTCGGCGAAGACCTCATAGGCAGCGGTGGGGATCTTCCGCCTGCCCGTGAAATCTTTTGCCCAGTCCTTGGAGCCTTCGATGATAGCCGCCCACTTGCTCGGTGCAAAACAGGGGGTTCCGTCTGCGCCCAGATTAGACCGAAGAACCACTGAAAGCAAGAAAAGAAGTCTGGCCTGGCTTACTACTATGAAAATGACCGCCCAAGCCTCCGAAAACATGATCATCAGGCCCGACGACAACGAGATAAAGGAAAGCGCCTTGTGGCCGTTGAGGTGGCGAAAAGTTTATTCGCGACCGCAGCTCAGTGGAACTCAAAGATCACTCGCGGAGGACCGCCGCGGTTGGATCTCACCTTCTCGGTGATCTTCCCCCACATCAACTCATCGTCAACCACATAACAGCTTCCAACCAGGTGCCAGTGTTGCCCTCTGGGTAACCCTCTGGGCCGCGCAATGAACGGCATGCGGCCTCCGAAGAGGACGACGACATCGTCGCCCGGCTGCATCATCTTGGATCCAATGCCAACACGCCCGCCACGAGTCACGAACACCCGCCGGTTATTCGAATAGGTCCGCGCCCCGGCGCCAAAAGTCTGCAACTTCTCCTCCCGTCCTGGATGTCCGAACCCATCTGCCGTCAGCGGAAGACCAAACTCAGCCACCTGGGTGAGAAACGTCTCGGCAAGGTCTCGAACCTCCTCGTCAAGCTCTTCGGGTGGTCTCCGCGTGCGGTCGTCGAAGAGCGGGTTGAGGCCCCCATGCTTCTGAGTGAGAAGGTGACTGTGACCAATGATCGATCCCAGGACACCGGCCAACACGGCCTTGCAGAATGCTACATCGAGCAGACTGCCGTCTCGATAGTTCTGTCCGCACCTGGGCGCAATAGACACACCGAAGAGCTGATCCCAGGCGTCCAAGATAGCTGATGCTGTTGCCCGCGATCCCCACCCAAAGTCGAACGTCTCACTTGTCTTCTGCACCACATCGACATGATACCCATCCAACGACAAAACCCTTGGTTGCACGGGATCGTCTCGGACGGGGATGTCGTGAAGCTCAGCAAAGTACCGGAAGTGACCGTCGCAGAAACCGGCGAGATATGCCCCCTTGAATACGAAGCAAGTCCTCTGGTCGAACCATTTCGGCACCCATGATGGGTACTCCCCAAGATCCGGGTCTTCGTTATGCTGTACATGATCAAGGACGTCCAAGATCCTCGGCTGCTTCCGCATGAGGAACCGCGTCAGATCGCAGTAAACCAGCACCGTCTCCCTTTTGTAATCCGGCCGCAGAGCTCTCGGCCGCCCAAAGTTGAGATTAGGTGCGAGCCCGTTGACGAAGTTGTTGATACGCGTGAAGCCTCGACGGATCAGTCGGATGCGCCAGCTGTCATTGTTGTCAAAGACCCCCGTCAGCGCCAGCACGGGGTTCAATCCCTCATCGCAGATGCACAGTAGAGAAAACACCTTGTCGCGGTCGTCGGTCGCCTGCAGCGTCCGGGTCCGTTCGAGCAGGCCGAGAAACGAGCCGATTGAGCCCTCGACTTTGGGCCGGCCCTGGGTCATGGTCGCCTGGCGGCGCATTAGAATCAGATTCCACAGCTCGTAAGGTCGGTGGATTGAGATTTCCCCTTTCCATCGGGCGAGGATTACTAGCGACGCGATCAGGTCGAGAAAGGACATCTCTAAGTCCTCGATCTTGGCGATTGCCCATGTCGATGCCACCACTTCTTGTACACACCAACATCGGTTAAAGTACGGCCGTTCAAAGACTTCGTTCAGATGAATCATGCAGGTCTCGGGCAGGTCATCAGCCATGCTGCTCATCAGTTGCTGCGAGGCACCGGTATCAAGTTGCGCGGCGTTCGGACCGGGATGAGTGTATTCTCTGATCCTCGCAAGCCTCTCCGCGGCTAGGAATGCCTCTTGAGTTCCAGAAGTCTTGAGGCCCAGCCAAACAATCACGCGGGCGGCATGTTTATAAACTAACCTCATGTACTGAACCTGGCGAGAGCGTTCGTCCAAGTTCGACTGGTCAATGCAGAGGGCGTCGATCCATAGTCGGCGCACCTGCGTCGGCAAGCGCAGAGAGCGCAAGGCATCCTCTAGATTCGGTTTGACGGGCAAAGGATAGCCTTGTAGCCAGATGTAATCCCTCGCCTCGTCAGTGGGCTTTCCCCAGGTATAGGATAACGCTTCATAGGGAGGCGCATCTTCGAGATTGATGATTTGCAGCTGTGCTTCGAAGGGGTCCTCTCCAGAGCCCGGGTTCAGGAGAAAGAGCAGGCGTGTAAATGGTGGCGTTCGACCTTGTTCTAAAATCGGCGGCAGGGGCTAATACCGGTACGAGCTGTCTTGTTCCATCAGACCCAAGTGTTCATTTGAGTGTCGCGAAACTCTTTGGAAGTCCAGGTTTGTTGACTGGCTCCAGGAGCGGAGTTCAACTTTGACAAACACGGCCGAAGGCCTCGAACCGTCCAGATACTACCACGTTAAACTCCTAGGTGCAGATTCCATTGTCAGAATCGAACATGGTTCGTCCAGCGCAGCAGGGGTGCGGTGCATGGTGCCGTTCGACTGGACGCCAGACTTCAGCCGCTGGCGCTAGATGGTAGGTATAGGATGCCTTGGGCAGTGTTTGACGAGGTACTGAACAAACCGTAGTGTCACAAACTGATGTGTAAGACATTCTTAGCCATACAGAAATAAATGTACCATTACGAAGGGCCAGCTTATTGGCCACACGAATGCCGAACGGCTCTCCTGAGACGTTCAGTCGTGAGCTGCAACCGTGCTATCAAGCTTTTGGCACTGGTATGAGCCTCATGGTTCTTCCGCATCCGATTCTGGGGTATCATTACAGTGAAAATAAGTCGCAGTGACGTTTGCTATCCATCCACACCGATTCCTTCTTACCGAGGTCATGAGCCTAAGCCTCCTATATATCACGAGAGCTTTTAGAGACAGGACTCACGGAGCCGGCTGATGGTACCGGTAATCTGTCCTTCCTCATCGGATTTCAGGTTCCTTCATGAAATCCGGAATGGTAAGGCCGGCTTCGAGCACGGAAAGGTCCCAGGGGTCGGCAGGTTCCTCATCCACCCCCTCATTCGCAACCTGGTACGAAATCATGTCAGTGGCATAACTATGAAAAGATGAAGACAATACTTACATGGTGCGTACTGCCCAGCTCGACGTTGGGGGCGTCAGTGTCGGCAGCATAGATCTTGATGGACCGAAGGTGGGTATCCTTTCCATTCTGGTGGTTCTCAAGTATCTGCATTTGGAACACGTAGGAGACCAGCGTATTGCCGTCGGGGCCACCACCAGCGCCAACAATAGGAACATGCTGCCAGCCAGAGGGTTGCGACATTTCCATCGTGGCGAACTGAACAAGGTTGTTCTCACTGGTGCCGGACTTGAAGATGATCTTGGTAGGCGTGTAGGACTCGTCCTCATTGTAGTCCACGAAGAAGCGAATGTCTCTGATACCGACTCGCTTGATGAAATATATCGTTAGCTTATGTGGTTGGGGCCCATCGGATCTATCGCCAGTCAGTAAGCTCGATTGCTGGTACTGGTAGTCAAAACTGTAGAACAACATACTGCCAGTAGGTCTTCAAACTGTCATTGCGCAGCTGCTCAACACCGTTGCCCTGCTTGTGGCTACTGACGGTGAACTTTCCCAGATTGGATATCTCCTTGAGCCCGGCGGCAAGGGCATCGAACTCGGGCTCTTCGTGATGGTCTCCTGCATGGTCCCCGTTCTCGCCGTCCTCAACGCTGGTGTCGGTGGCTGATATTTCGCCGAGGTCATCAAGGGGCATACTGATGCCTTCTTCGTCAGAGTACTCCGGGATCGGCGCATTGCGCAGATATTCCTCCATGTTGGGGCCGGCTCTCATAGCCTCCCAGTCAACACGCTGTGGGGGAAAGGCTTCGCCGTCGCTGGAAATGTGGTCGTCTGGATGTGAGCTACCTGGCAGGTTGAATGAGTCAGCAGCTGTGTGAATCATGTAATGAAAGATACAATCAAACACTCTCATGGCACGCCTCCCACTTGGGCAATCGTCCGAACTCTAGTATACGGCTAAGGCCGCATGAACCAGGGCGGGTCGGCGGTTGGCCCCGGTGCTCAATCAAAATCTTATTTGTGTATGAACTCCCGAACCACTCAAGCGCTACCGGCGGCTTGCTTCTTGAATGTCTAGAAACGCACGCAATTTCGTGAGTGAGTGGGAGCAATTGAAGCCCTTGTCTTTTGGGCTGCAGCGAAGGTGTCAGGAAGACTTCTCATCAAACCGCGACCGAAATGAGACCCCTGCCGAGGAGAAACGACCCTTGTCTGCCTCATTCGACGACAAACGACACACCCGAGCGCTCTCTCGCTTGTTTCAATAGAGTGCAAAAGGAGTGAATTAGATGGGAGGCTAGCGGCCACGGCTGGTGGGTGTAATGGGAGCTGCTGTGCAAAATGGTAGACAGTAGGGGAGATATGCAGATGAAACTCTAACGCAATGATAAACCTGACTTTCCGAGGGAATAAAAGACGTAACCCACCGTTCGGACCATGAGTTCTGGTGGCTCGACGGTCATAGTAATCGTTCATCCACTGCTCCGAATGATCGGCCTGCGAGTCGAGGCCGTCACGTCTGTTGCTAAGCTGCTCCGGGCTCTGCAGGTCAGGTCGTGGGCGGTTACCATGGAAGTTTCCCCGCCGTCGGTCTTCCATAGCCGACTCCAAGATTTGAGAGGCACGATCCAAATCTCGAGGGCTGTTCAACGTGCGCGCGCCCGTGAGGATAGGAACGTGTTGATTGATGCTCTTGCAGCGTTCATCATATCGAATCACGTGGGTCCAACGGGGCGTCACGTGCCTCGCTTGTCGGTGTGAGACAGCTTACCGACGCACCATCGTCAAAGACTTCGACTTGGATTGCTAGACAATACACTCAATGCTTCGAGAGACAACCATCTCGAGAAATAGACTGCGGCTCACTGTGACTTTGTTCCTTGCAAAGCGCAGCATATACTGGCCGTAGTTGTCTTATACCTATATGCTGAACTGCAATATACTTGTAAAGGCTCAAGATGTGTCTCGCTGAGTTTGTGGACGGCCAGGTACAACATCTCCCTCACAATGGCGTGATTATAAGCGATTGGCGGTGGTGGTTGAAGGGATTTGTGGCTTGCATTTCAGCTGAACGCCTCGTTTGCGTTTTATTACTTGGTCCAGGTTCTCTGTTACCCCGACTCCATGTAAGCAATTTGCTTGACAGCCATGTCCAACAGCGAGTCACCTTCCCTATTGGCATCTATATGTTGGGGAAGCCAATCTATCTTGACATGCATCATGCAAGTGCCCGTCAGTTAGCCTGTTCGGTTCTTTCGTAAAGCCCGGAGGTTTTACTTGAACCAATGAAGACTGGCATGAGCAGCCAAATGGCAGCATTGTCGACTTATTTCAGCAACGTAATTGGAGTTCTATATCAACCTAGACGCCGATGCTTTGCATTCTAATCCTTACCTCTGCCGTGGCATGGTACATAGTCTGGGCACCAATCGGTCAAGCCGGTAATCCCACTTCGCTCTGTTGTTCGTTATCCAGGGGAGTTGTGTTCCGCGTGGCTTGCATCTAAAGCCAGGAATGCATCTTTGATATCAGAAGGAAAGAAGAACAGAGCTCAACGGAATATTCCACACGATAATTGTCAACTATAAAAGGCGTCTGCTTCCGCGAAAAGAACTGGAGCTTCTCCTCCAAGCCAATAAACATCGAAGCTTAACACTGACTTTGCATCCACTTCGCAATCATACTACTGTAACGTAGAACATGAAGGCTTCAGCTCTTATTCCGGTTCTTTTCCTCCCGGGCGCCCTTGCTGCCATTGGTAGCTACTGTAAGGATAGCAAGGTCTGACCTACCTACGTCTATTTGCCAACGTCACCTGATACTGACTGGCATGATTCTACAGGGAAACTACGGCACCTGCCAGAAAGTCAACAAATGCAAGTCTCTCAATGGCTACACCAAGACCAATCTCTGCCCCAACGATCCAGATGAGGTGAAGTGCTGCTTCTACCCTGATTGCAACAGCAACGGCTTCTGCCAGAGAGACACCCTCTCCTGCAGCGGTACCTACCTCACGTGAGTTCTCTTTGGCTCTGATGCAATACCAAAAGTGACAACGCCTGACACGGCATCTCTGTTCTTGTAGTGGCGACTGTCCTGGACCTGCTACTTACCGCGTAATTACACCCTCAGTTATGCATGGTTTCTCAATGCTGATTTGGGCCAGTGCTGTAACCTGAGGACCGGGAAGCCGCCCATTTGCAGCCGGGACGAGAAGACCCGTCGCTGCATTCCCCTCTGAGCTTGGGTGGACGGAGATATCGTGCGGCTTGGTCGAATCCACCTGTGTAGTTGAGTGTAGTAACAAAATCAACACTATTGAGCCTGAACGTACTGGCCTCACTGCGCATGGCCGAGTTGAGAGGTGGGATCGTAGTATGTTATAACACATTGCATAGCCGCTGGATAATTGACTCGCAGGCGGGATAAAAGGGCTAAGAGAAATGGGTTTGTAACACCTTGTCACTTACCGGCCATGCATATTCCAAGTGCCTGAGGTTGGCAAGTACGCGTTGAATGAGAGACAACGGTAATTGATTCATTCACGAGGAGACATGCCATGGCTGATCAGGTAAGCCAACAGCAAAGTTAAACAAGCAATTACATTGCACTTTTCCTGCCAGTAAAAGAGAAAAAAAAAACTATGCCCATCCAATGATCAGACCATATAAACCCCCCAGGTCCATCCCAAAACGCCGGCCAGAGAGATCAAGGTATCATACAGCGCATTGAACAATATGTTGATGCACATGAGGCCCAAGTGCCGTCTATGAATAAGAAACGCGACGCCGCTTGGCTTCCTAGGCACCGAGAGAGCTGCGCTTCTTCTTCAGCTTCTTCTCCTTCTTGGGCGTCTCGTCGTCCTCGTGCTTGCGCTTCTTCTTGCCGCTGTCGGTAGCCTTGACGGGCGTCTCGTCAGCCTCGTCCTCGCCCTTCTTGAGCTTCTTCAGCTCCTTCTTGCTGAAAACGACGGGCGTGCCGTCCTCGCCGAGCTGGACGTCGCCGCGCTCAAACTTGCGCTTGAACTTGGACACACTGACACCAGCGGCCTCGGCAAGGCGCTCGTACTCCTTTTCGCTCAGCTTCGCGGGTGTGCCCTTGACGCTCTTGCTCTCCTTGACAGGAGTCTCAGCCGCTGCAATGGAGACACGCTTCTTGTCCTTCTTTTCCTTCTTCTTGTCCTTTTCGCTCTTCTTCTCCTCTTCGCTGGCGTCGTTCATCTCCTCGTCCTCGTCCTCCTTCTCGCTGTCGGCATCCTTCATCTCCTCGTCGACGACCTGGATGAGCTTCTTGGACTTCTTCTCAGGCTTGCCGTTGGTCTCGGCATCTTCGATACCGTCGGCGTCGGCGTTGTACTTGCGGGACTCCTTCAGGCTGAAGCCGCCAGGTGTGGTGAGTTGGCCGTCGGGGCCCACGCCCACACCCTTGGGCAGAAGAGGCTTGCCCTCCAGCTTGCGGAGCAGGTTCTCGAGCTTGATGCGGCTGGTCAAGCCAATAAGGCTGCGCTCCTCCTCATCGTCCTGGTTCTCCATGTCGCCAAGAGCGTCGACGCGCAGGCCGAGAGCGGTCTTGGCGGCGAGGGAACGGGCAATCTTTCCCTTGTTCTTGCCAGTAGCCTGGCCGACGAGGGAAGAGTGGTAGATGATACCGTACTTGGGTGTGTCATGCTTAGTCTTGAGAGCACGGAAGAGGGCCTTCTCGGCACCGAAAATCTGGATGGTGGACGAGGGAGCCTTGGCCAAGCTGATCAGAGAACCGGCATGTGCGATGAGGCGAGCACCGACGAGGTAGCCGACGAGGGCGGTCAAGTTGGGGGCAAGAGCGCGCATACGATTCTCCAAGTAATTAGAAAGCGAAGCACGGTACTCAGAGTAGGTAATGACCTGCTGAGCCAACAACTGAATGTTCTCCAAATCTTCAGGGGTGATCTCAGTTCCCATGGAAATCTCTGCAGCGGTCTTGACGGGGGTCTCAAGCTCCTCGGGGAGGATGTCGGAGAGGTCGGCATCGTTGAAGTCCTGGCGCATGCCAACGGCAACGACAAGGCGGGCGTAGACCAGATTGTCGTTGAGGATCTTGGCGAGCTCGGGGAAGTGCCAGCCGTACCATTCCTTGGTGCGCATGGCGTAAACGTTGAGCTCCTTGTCGAGGTCGTCTATCAGCTTGATCGCCTGGACAACCATGGCGTCGACTTTATCGGCAGAAAACTTGAGCTTGTGTCGCGAGATGGAGTGCGACAGACCAAGGGCCATGCGGTCCATGGTCTCGGTGGTGAGGCCGGGAATCAGGGACGAGAGATTCTCGCGAACAGCACGGAACAGGTCCTGAGAGGCGGCCTCGGAGACAGCCTGGATGTTCAAGTCGGGAAGCTTGCCAATGGCAGTACCAAGCTTCAGGTCGGCAACGGCAAGGGAAGCCTTCTTCTCGTCCTTGAGCTCCTTGAGCAGGTTGGCGAGCAACGGCGGAACGCGACCCTCCTTGAGACCGGCGGCTTCCTCGACGGCGACGGCGGAGCTATCGAACTTGACGAAGGACTTCAACTTGAGCCTTTTCGAGGGTCAGCATTGCTGTACTAACACGCAGGATTTCCTGCGATTGGGTTCGCCAAGTTGTAACGCGTATGCGCTGTCTCGTGCGTTTCGCGGAAATCAACTGCCATTGGCTTTCTTGGGAACGCGACCTACATTTCGTTGATCTTCTCCGAAGAGGTAGGGCCGGAAGAGAGCTCATCGCGCTTCAGAAGCTTCTTGTCGGCAGCCTTGAACAGACCGTAGCTATGATTTTTTATTAGCTTCCATAACGTTCCCACCACGCTGGGCTTTTTTCATTTCCAAGTCAAAACGTACCCTGCCGGCGTTTCGGCGAGAACGAAGAGAGACATTTTGAACACTGTCGAAACTCTTCTAATCTAGCCTGTCGATTCCCTCGGTTTAATTCCTCCGCTCGTGGGTGTGTAAGTTGTTGTCGGCGGAGGCAGGTTTCCAGAGCGGATTGATGGTTTGGAAATATTTTTTTCTCAATCGAAGCTCCACCAATTTTTTTTCGATGCTGCAGACCTTTGGGCGGGCCCGCCCCCCCCACACCCAATTGGCAAGTGGGATGGCTCGGAGCGCGTAAAATCAGTTTTGCCGATAGGAGAAATGAAAAAGAAAAAAAAAAGAAAAAAAAAGAGGAAAAGTGGGCGAACAGGTGCACCGCCACAGTGAATCTGTGCGAGTGTGTGTGTGGCTGCACTGCGCAAGGCGGCTGGCTGAGACTGGCTGGGACCTGGCAGCTGCCGTAGCCATTTGATTCGAGTCCTTAAGTCAACGACCAGAGCTATTTCCGTCTTGGCCTCCACACGACCGGCGTCACCATCTCCAGCTCTCTCAAATCGAGCATCCAAAATCCTGTCAAGATGGAGGGTCTTTTCTTCAACGTCAACAGCGGGTGGGTTTTGTCTACGTGATACGTGAGGTGTGCGCCGCTGGTGGCTAACGTGCTGTAGCTACATCGAGGGCATCGTCCGCGGCTACAGGAACGGCCTTCTCACGAGCTCAAACTACAGCAATCTGACGCAGTGCGAGACCATCGATGGTTAGTCTATCCTTGTCCCTATACAGCGCGATATGTGTCTGACCTGGCTCTAGATCTTAAGCTGCAACTTGGTCCTGCATACGGCGACTTCCTCGGTAACCTCCCTCCTAATCCTTCGACGTCAGCTCTCGCCGCCAAGACGACCGATAAGCTCGTCTCCGAGTTCCGCTATGTTCGGGCCAACGCTGTCGGCGCCCTTGCCCAGTTCATGGACTATCTGACATACGGCTACATGATCGACAACGTAGCTTTGCTGATTACTGGCACGCTCCACGAACGAGACACCCGCGAGCTTCTCGAGAGATGCCATCCCCTCGGCTGGTTCGAGACCATGCCCGTTCTCTGTGTCGCAACCAACATCGAAGAGCTGTACAACAGTGTTCTCATCGAGACGCCTCTTGCTGCCTACTTCAAGGGTAGTCTGAGCCACCAGGACCTCGACGAGCTGAACATTGAAATCGTCCGGAACACGTTGTACAAGAACTACCTAGAGGACTTTCACAACTTTGTCAACACCCACCCCGAGATGGCTGGCTCGCCGACAGCTGACATCATGTCGGAGATCCTTGAGTTCGAGGCTGACCGCCGTGCCATCAATATTACGCTCAACTCGTTCGGCACCGAACTGAACAAGAACGATCGCAAGAAGCTTTACCCAAGCTTCGGCAAGCTGTACCCCGAGGGAACCCTCATGCTCTCTAGAGCGGATGACTTTGAGGGTGTTCGTCTCGCAGTTGACGGTGTGGCAGACTACAAGGCCTTTTTCGAGGCGGCTGGCCTTGGTGGTGGTCCTTCCGGACCTGGCAACCTGGGCGGCGGCTCGAGCTCTGACGGTAAAAGTTTGGAGGACATGTTTTACCAAAAGGAGATGGAGATTTCCAAGAGCGCTTTCACTCAACAATTCACCTTCGCCATTGTGTACGCCTGGGTGAGGCTCCGCGAGCAGGTAAGATCATGACACGCCAAACGTAACACGAGGCCAAGCTAACGATATATCAGGAAATCCGCAACATCACCTGGATCGCTGAATGCATAGCCCAAAACCAGAAGGACCGGATTGGTAACTACATCAGTGTGTTCTGAGTTTTAATGTTTTGGCAGTCCTGTTCTCGTACTTTTGTAGAATACCAGTTTTATCGTTTAATGGCAGGTCACAACGGCGCAAGGAGGTTGCTCAGGTTCATGACGTGGAGATCAGTATCTTTACCGATCGCTATACCTAGTGTACATAGAGGACAATTACAAGTCTGAATTTTACACATGTCATCACCTCCACCCTTGGCCTCTTTTCCTGCCCACCTAGAAGCTGATCTGCTCCTTGTATGTCGCTGGTGTCAGACCCAGCTTCTCCAGCAAGTGCGTCCACCGCTCGCTTCCCCTCTCCTTTCTCTCCATGTACTTGAGCAGTTTCTGCCTCCTATGGCAGAGCACTCTGAGGTTTCT